TGGCCAGCACTGAGTCCCGACCTCTCCCCCATCGAGCATGTCTGGGACATGCTTGGACAGAGGTTACGTCAACGTCAACAACGTCCTGCCAATGTCCAAGAACTTGCTGCTGCGTTGCAACAGGAATTGGACAATCTGGACCAAAATGACCTTAGACGTCTCATTAGGAGTATGCCACGTCGGATCAATGCTTTTTGGCAAACAGAGGAGGATTTACCCGTTACTGACTTGGTTGTGATGCTGTGGTAACTTTGCTGTTTGACCCCGGGTATCATTTTACCCTTATAATGGTCAGTCTGTGCCTTACTTAGTCTAACGATCATTTGGAATAAATCGATGAATGTGAACTTCATTTCATTTTGTCATTTGTTTCTTCGTCAGTTTCATTAGGTGACTTTAATAACACTTAAAAATCAAATATCCCCTACTTTTTTTGAATAGTATAGTTAATTGTACTAATCCGTCCACGAGATGACTGGACTATAGTACCCTACTTCCAGCAATGGATACTGACATAACTGTCGGTGAGTTGGTCTAAGATAGTAGCAGAATAATGCAAGCTACTTCATTACCCTAGTTTTCATCACACATCATGTAGGTAAAGAATTTCTATATTAAACAGAACACCTTTATTAGTACTAAAATAAGCCCTATAGTATTATAAGTGGAGTAGAACGGAATAAGACCACTGGGGATACTGAGTAATCATGGCTGTTTTTATTGTTCATTTTTTATAAATAGACACATATAACCATGAATGTTTTATTGTTCATTTTCTTAGTTTATAATTTCCAATTCTAGTTTTCTTTGTTTTAGTTTCAGTACTTCAATATTTTCTTTTCAAGAACTCGCCATAACAACCCACGTGCTTTCTTTAAGCAGAAATTTATAAACACACATTTTTGGTTCAATGTCAATTGCACGAGATCAAGTGATTTTGTTGAGAGAAAAAAATATATGTGATTCATTGGGCCTAAATTATTCCATGCAATAACAGTGTTTGTTTGTCGCAGTGTTATTTGTGACATAATCTTGTACATATTTATAATTTTACTGATATCTCCTTCACAAGACCAAAAGTTTTTGAAGATTGCCACTTTTATTGTTTTAAAACTTAATCTTTTAAAAATTTAAATATTGATGAAACTGGAAGAGTTGTTATATAACAGGCGTTCTGGTTGATGTGAGGAATTAGCCAATGAAACGGTCTGTTACGGTGATTAATCATTGTCAGATCTTCGTGTAGTATAGGCCATAGAAAGTATAAAAAACGAAACGAAATGTAGATCTGTATATTAATCAGGGACATGTTTCACGAAATTTTAACTAAGATAAAATCCAAATTTTAGTAATTTGATTGATTGATATAAGATTTATTTTAGTGCTAAGCCAATCAAAATTGAAGTATCTACTAAAATTAGGATCCAGAGTGTATTGAGATAGCGGTTTAGCTCCTTTAAACCCTATGTTATATATCGAGGTCTTTCGTGCAATTCTTTTATTCTACCGCCGTCTTAATTAAAAAATCAACACAATTGGTATTTATTGATCTTACAACTTTGTCTTAGATGAACGCGCTGACTTGCTGGACCATGCTTTATAGATGATTATATCATTGTTTCGGTTTTGTTTAATGTCAATTATTTAAGCTTCTCGTACAGGCACAAAGGGAAATGAAATTGGTTTTAACATCCTACTGTCGTGAGATAACAGATAGTTGTTCTTCTCTATAATAAACGGGAAGTCGAGACATGACGACCAGTTTTTCCTTTCTTCAATATACATGTACCGACAGGGGGCCATACCGTGAAAATAGAAAATCTCCTATATCAAAAAATATCAACGCAAGTCGATATAACGTAAAAAATAATAAAATAAAATAAAAACAGGCTCTGCCGAGGTTTTTTTATTACTTTATAGACAAGTGTTGATATTTTTTGATATCAAAAAAGACGAGTAGGAGATTTTATTTATCACCCAATCCTTTCTTACATGCACAAATAAATAAATATAATTATTTGCTATAGATTTCACTTTTACTGAACCTGATAACATTACGGCGTAGTGTGATATACATCACTTTTTGACAGCAACTGAACCATTGCAAAGTCCTTTGCATTGACGCAGTGTTTCTTTGAAGATCAATTAAACCAGCGGCTGCCAGGCAGGATACGCCCACATTTTCGAGAGATGGATAGAGAACAAGCTAAAAAGATAGTGAACTTTCCTACAATCAAGGGCCATAATTCAGGAAATTACAATTCGATATGCGCAAATATTGAAAGGAACCGAGCTCGTTGGGTTATAAACTTACATTTTAAGTTTCAACAAAATCGGATAAAAATTGTGACCTCTATATACGATATTTTTACGCTATTTGAGAAAGAAGGGGAGCCGATTTTCACGAAATTCGAACTCAGTCGACCTTAGGGTGTATCGGTGATATAATAATACGTTTTTTTAAATCGGATAAAAATTATGACCTCTATTCTATAGGGTCCACAAGCTTAAAAACGCGATTTTTCGTACAATCAGGGGCCATAATTCAGGAAGTTACATTCAGATATGCGCGAATATCGAAACGAATCAAGATCTTTGGGTTATAAACTTACATTTCAAGTTTCATCAAAATAGGATTAAAATTGTGACCTCTATAGGGTCCACAACCTTGATATACCATATTTTTAAACTATATGAGAACGAAAGGCGGCCATTTCGTCTGTCAGTTTTGGGCCGATTTTCACGAAATTTGAACTCAGCTGTCCTTAGGGTGTAACGGTGATATAATAATAGTTTTTGTTAAATTCGGATAAAAATTATGACCTATATAGGGTCCACAAGCTAAAAACGCGATTTTTCGTACAATCAGGGGCCATAATTCAGGAAGTTACGTTCCAATATGCGCGAATATCGAAAGAAACCGAGGTCATTGGGTTATAAACTTACATTTCAAGTTTCAACAAAATCGGATAAAAATTGTGACCTCTATAGGGTCCACAACCTTGATATACCATATTTTTACGCTATTTGAGAACGAACGGCGGCCATTTTGTCTGTCAGTTTAGGGCCGATTTTCACGAAATTCGAACTCAGCCGTCCTTAGGGTTTAACGGCGATATCATAATGCGTTTTTTTTAAATCGGATAAAAATTATGACCTCTATTCTATAGGGTCCACAAGCTAAAAACGCGATTTTTCGAACAATCAGGGGCCATAATTCAGGAAGTTACATTCCGATATGCGCGAATATCGAAACGAACCAAGATCTTTGGGTTATAAACTTACATTTCAAGTTTCATCAAAATAGGATTAAAATTGTGACCTCTATTTTTACTTTTTTCGGTAATGAAACATTTATAATACATTAAAATCTGATTAAGAGTAACAACTCATTAAGTAATTATCAGAAAACCATTAGAATTTGATCAGTTTTTATAAAGTTCTGCCCCATGCTAACGTTTAGTATACGAAACTTTTAACATCATGGATTTAGCTGTTCAAGTCATAAAGATTCATTGAAAATCAATATACTTGTTCGGCTCAAGACCTTGAACACTGTGTATAAATTTCAAGTCAATCGGATATTAACTTTAGCCTCTAGAGCGTCCACAAGATTTTTCAAAGTGATCAAGGGCCATAATTCTAGCTGTAATTATCGGAAATCGCTGAAAATCAATAGGCTTCTTCGTCTCATGACCTTAAACACTGTGTATGAATTTAAAGTCAATCGGATATTAACTTTGACCTCTAGAGCGTCCACAAGATTTTTTGAAGTGATCAAGGGCCATAACTCCGGCAGTAATTATCGAAAATCGCTGGAAATCAATAGGCTTCTTCGTCTCATGACCTTAAACACTGTGTATACATTTAAAGTCAATCGGATATTAACTTTAGCCTATAGAGCGTCCACAACCGGACAGACGGGGGCGACAACAATATACGACCACATTTCAATGTGGGCGTATAAAAAGTAGTTCCTTTTTAACTGACCAATCAAATTCATGTGAAGCAGTAGATTATGAAATTTATCACATTTAAAGTCAATCGGATATTAACTTTAGCCTATGGAGCGTCCACAATCGGACAGACGGGCGGACAACAATATACGACCACATTTCAATGTGGGCGTATAAAAATTAGTTCCTTTTTAACTGACCAATCAAATTCATGTGAAGCAGCAGATTATGAAATTTATCACATAAGCGATCACTCGGCAAACTTCAGCAGATTCCAGTACCCTACATCTAGCCTCTCGCAGAGAGGGAGAGGGTTTAACGTCTACTCAACACAACCTAGGTCATTTCAGGAGTAACATATGGTTCAATTTTTATTTCAATAATTTGCTTGGGAGGGAATTGGAATATCCGGAGAAAACCCACAATTTTGGACAGGCGACCCTACTCCATGTCATACATCCCGGGAATCGAAACCCCGCCAGTTGACTCAATGACAGACCTTATGATACAGTACGCACATGCTAACCATTCAGCCATCCACACACCCCCAAGTCATAGAAAGTCAATAAACTTTAACACTCTCTTATATCCCCGCCAAAACAAATTAGTAATTATAAAATAAAATGCGGTTTAACGTCCTACTGTTCTGCTCCCTACTGTTCTGCTCCGAAAACGGGCATACGCATAACATTGTGTTATGAGGTAAATTTTGCCCGGACTGCGGCACTACGACCTACTCTTATATTGAATTCCAACTGTCAAGGGATCTTTTACGTGCATGCCAATGTGTACATGGGACCTCGGTTTTCCGTCCCATCTGAACATCTAGACAGCTGTTCTTGTCAGGTTCTCTGTCCTGAACCACGCTCGAAAATCTAGATGAACATTCTTGGCCAATGCAGGGATCGAACACCCGACCTCAAGGCTAGCGAGCCAGCGTCTTACCCACCGTGATATTCTGCCATAAGTATCTGTTACAGTTTAATTCGATAAAGTCAGTGGATGGATGATCCAATAAGAAATACATAAAATAATTAATACTTGTAGAAAATATTTAATGGTTTCCATCTGTTATATTTACATATATATTTACATATTTGATCATATAGATACTTATATATATACACACAGCACTGTTGATATCTTGATAGGCCTACACAATATATTTTAAAGTTTATCATTTCAATAAATGGGTTAATATATATTTTGTGTTTGAATGTAAATCTTTCAACTAATCGTTTGAAATTTTTTTTACATCTCTGCTCAGAGACCAATTTATATTTATTTCCTGTGATTCATTATTATGTCACCAGAAAAATAATCATAATACATCAAATAGAAGGTTTATCAGATCAGTTGCAATACACATTTGGTATATTGAAATATTGAAATCTATTTATGATACGGATCTATATTTCATTTCGTTTGTTTTTATACTTTCGATGGACTACACTACATGAAAAACTTTTGATAGCCTACACTACATGAAGATCTGATCGGTTGTAGTGGAAGGTAGTGTCAGAGGTCATACGAGCAGCTTTTGGCCCTATGACGTCAGACATCAGCGATGATGTTTCCAGTGGGTTATCCGCACAGTTCCAGGCAATTCACACCAGATTATTTCATTGGCTAATCCTTCACGCCATCCAGAACGCAGGTTATATATAGGGCTGGGTAAAATATCGATATAAATCGATAGTATCGATTGGACGGCCCAGAAAAGCACTATCGATAACGGTGGGTTACTATCGATTATCGCTCTTCGTCTATTTTTCTTGCGTCTGAAATCTCAATGTTTTCTTTCAGTTAATCATAATACACCGCTCACTTTAATTACTATCAAGTATCAATGTAACACATAACAAAATTGTGACTGCTTATTGAACAGCTGTTTTCATAAATTCACTCTCATTGAAATGTTACTTTAGTTTTGAAGAAATTATTGTTGAATATCGCTAAATCGGAGATACCCGGATGTGTAAATAAAGTTAGAGTTATTTCCCTTTGCAAGCGTCAGAATTCATCTGCCATATTGATATTTTCGCACGCACGTACGCAATGTTTTGAATCGGAACAAGTTCATTTTGGTCCCTTAACATAATTATTTACGATATTTCTTCATAGGGAAACAACGGCTGCATTATTTTAATAATAAACAACATCAATTTACGTATATATACGTGATATAACAAGTTTTATTAATGTTTTCCAAATAAATCTCCTTAGACAGGAGCAAACGATCTTTCGCAACTTCGTATGGATTTGAACTTTGAACTTACACAGTATCCAGTCTTGATGACGACCGTGAAAATAAGTTTGTTTTCGATACTATCGATTATCGACCGACCGACATTTCATTGCCGATTATCAATAGTAAAAATCACTATCAATACCCAGCCCTAGTTATATAACAACTCTTCCAGATCGTGTCGTAGTAAAGACAAGTAAAACAAGATCTTGAACTATGTAAAACGAAACGTAATAGGATCTGTGTTTTAATCAGATTGGGTATATGAATATTTTCACTCTACTTCATAGTTTTTTCTTTAATTAGTTGTATCAATTAATTCATAAAACTTCATGTAAATAATGGCATAACAAAAATTTGTGTAAAATATATTGGTGATTTTAGAAATATATGGCTGGAGAATCCTGGTTGAATGTGACCTGTGTATTCTAGTTCAATTACTAAATGACATTAAAACAATAACAACACAGGCGATTTGACTTAGTGTATCTCCAGCTCAATTAAACAGATGTGGTTTATAACTGTATCCTTTGCTCCATAATAACAAGCGATGAAGAGAATCCTAGTTGACCGTGTTCTTGAAACAATGTAATTTACTGTTTGTTCTATGATTTGCTGGGCAGATGAGCACAATAGTTATCACATTTATATCATTCCCTCCTGTCACATTGATAACATCCCCTCCCGTCACATGCTATCACATTCCTGGGTTCATTTTCATAATCCATTCTACTGTTTCAGATAATAACGTCATATTATAGTGACTGAAAATAAAAACAAGACAAAATATTATCAATAAACTAGATCACATTCATATTCTAAAATATAATTTATACTAGTTAACAGGTTTGATTGAAAGGATTAAGAAGACCATTTCATTTAATTTGAAGGATTATCAAGAGCGAGCGAGAGAGAGAATGAGGTTTAACGTCCACTCAACACAAACTAGGTAATTCTGGGACTAACATATGGTTGAATTTTTTTCAATAATTCGATTGCGCGTAGGGTTCTTTAGCAGTGGGAGGACCCAGAGAAAACCCATTGTCACGTACGACCGGGGATTCAAAACCACGCCAGTTGACTCAATGGCAGGCCTAATAATACAGCGCGCGGGCTAATCATTCGGCCATCCAACCCCCAAAAAATCATCAAAGACATGTCATTTGGTAGGAAGGATGATCAAGGACACTTCATCTGATGGGAGGATTATCAAGGGCATTTCATTTGATAGGAAGGATTATCAAGAACATTTCATTTTATTTTGCCAGTCAGACACTTTTACGATCTACATATATGCAACCCTAACACCTCCACTCATATACACCGAGGTCGGAACTTCACCTTCAGTCATTACCTTCCGCCATTTTCAACCAAAGGTAGATCAATGTCATTCTGAACATCATTTTGGCCCTGATAATGAATTTTATGAGTGCAAAATTTATTATCAGGGCCAAAATGATGTTCAGAATGACATAGTCTTTGAAAAATGCTTTTCCATGTCACGAAAATAGAAGATTTGGGGCGCCATCTTGGATTTCCACCATCTTGGATTCTGACTATCTCATTTAAGATAGTGGGAATGAACTCTACAGACCTGAAAAGCATAAAATAGACACATTCCAAGCCATACCTGGCCTTTCTAAGTGATCTGTCAAGCTCAAAACGTCTGAAAATCCAGAAAATAGTCGCAATTTTTGAAAAAATGGCCGCCGGCAGCCATTTTTGGCAAGAAAATTATGAAAATATTACGGTGTAAGTTTGACCCCGAGTGGACTTCGGTGACGGGTAGAAACCTTAGAAATTCCAAAAAAAGTGAAAAGTGAAACACCCTAGTGGCTATTGTTCATCTCAGGATAAAAAGAAGATTCCTTTTAGATGCATTCGTAACTTATTAGTTGGTGCTTAATTTTAGGTTCGGCCAAAGTTTCGACTGTTCCAGTCAATAGGTCAAACTTATGGAACCCAATTTGTCTTCTTAGTCTCACCTTGCTATTCCACGGAACGTCTTCAACTGTTTCCCAAAATTCTTTAACTCCAAAGTATTAGAATATTCTCCAGCACAGGAACAATATTTTCTCATATTATTATCTTTTACCTGTATAGTGAAAGTAATGAAAACATATAAATAAGACAAGTGTCGCAAGGTAACATATACAATAAATGAACATAAATCAGACATGTGTCGCAAGGTAGAATATACAATAAATGAATAAAAATGAGAATAATTTGAACAACTGGCTACCATTAAGGGCCAAACAACTGGCCACCATTAAGGGCCAAACAACTGGCTACCATTAAGGGCCAAACAACAATTGGATGATAACTTTTGGTGTTAGTGCGTTCACAAGAAATTATGGATGAAGGACGGACCGACAGATGTCCACATTTCCATGTGGGCATATAAAAATTGACAATATAATTTAAATTGGAATGAATATTTGGTTATCAGATTTATGTACAGAACTATATAAATGCAACACCCGGATTGAACCCCAGGTCTACTGGTTAGCGAGCCAGTACCCTATTCATTGAGCCACCGCAGCTTCATCTTTGAAATAAATATAGATATATTATTTACAATAACTCACCCCTTTACATTTGACACATTTTAAATCTTGTAGGATATAGGACATAGATTTTCTACTAACAGCCTCTAATAAACTCTGTTCTATTTCTACGATATCATACTCCGTCTGACACTGTATACACGACCATAACATCCTAATAAACACAAAATAATAATTACATAGACGCTGGGCTATATTTTATATATAATAATTACCTAGAACCATCTTGTTAATATAATAATTTACATATAGGGCTAATTACATAAGACCATCTTTTATATAAATAATTACATAGGGGCAGCTTGGAGGAATGGTGTCTGAAAATTGAGGGTTACCTTTAAAGAAAGATTTCTGGATGTCATTAATTCTAGCTGACATGTAGTGAATCGAGCAAACATACCCTTCAGAATAACTGAATTATTTTGTACATATGGCACACATTTAGTTACTGAATTATTTTAATTCCTAGAAGGGATGCACCATATACTGATGTCAAGAATATCTTTTCCGTGTGGAGTCGACAGAAGTTTGATGATGAAGAAATAACTGTTTGAGAATCATCAATTAGGACCATCAAATGTTTAATGAGTAAGGAATCTTTCACCCTAACTGCAGAGAGAGAGAGATATGGGGTCCCACTCAACACAAACTAGGTCATTTTGGGACTAACATATGGTTTAATTCCATTTTAACAATTCGCTTGTGCGTAGGGCTCCTTAGCAGTGAGAGGAAACCGGAGGACGCATCGAAAACCCACGGAGTTGGACAGGCAACCCTACTCTTTGTCATGTACAACCGGGGAATTGATGTCAGACCCTCTGATCCAACATGTTAACCAATCAGACACCCAACCCCCCTCTTGAGAGAGAAATAATGAGATTGTTATGTACTTACCCACTAGAATCTTGTGTAAGATATGGATCTCGACACAAATCTAAATCACGAACATGATTACATGATTTACATATCACCTGTAATAATCACAGAAAGATTTACATATTGCCTGTAATATTTACATATCACCTGTAATAATCACAGAAAGATTTACGTATCACCTGTAATAATATCATGACCGTTCAATTTCGTTGTATAAATTTAACAAAACATTCTTTAGAGAGTAATTTAGAAAATCAAATGAAAAACCTATAGCTAGTTTAGATACCATTTTAAACTTAAAGGGGAAGACCAACGATTTTTAACAAGGTTTCCATAAACCTTAAATATATATTGATAAATAATCCCCTCTGTAACACAAGCAAAGAAGTTTTTGTAAGCGAGAAATTAAGTTTTATTAAAACCGGAAGTGACATAGTTGGTTCAACACGCTCACTGGGCTCTATAGTAAGCATACAGATTTGGCATAAGTTTACTGCTGTATTGTGTTCACGCGTCGTCCTTTGGAGATCAAATGGGCTGTTTATTAGGATATTATAAACACTAATTTATGTCTATTTAACGTTTAGTACACAAAGCCGTTGCGTAAATTCACTCATACTGAACAGTACGCTGTGCCTCAATTCATGCCACATGGCTATATGTTTACATCACATGGTTTGATCTACTTGTCACGTACTAGCGAGTATCAAATTCATAAAATACAACTTACTTCAGGTAAGACGTAAGATAAACATGGATCTTGAAACTGTGATTCTGATGAAAATTCACCAACACCAATCAACTTTAATAAATCTCTCTGTAATTTATTGACTTGTATCGTTATATTACTGTCTAATGATAAAACCTGAATTATAAAAAAACAAACAAACATGTACTGGTAGTATAATTACTATTTTATAAATATGCTAGATAATTGTATTATTTCATGGTTGAGAAAATAGCCCATGTACTGGTAATAGAATTTCCATTTTATGAATATTATGCCAGATATTGGTACTATTGCATTGCCCTTGCGGTTGCGAAAACAGTCGTTCGTCCAACATATACCAACAGAGAAATATATAGCATGAGATCGAGACGCAAGCAATTAAAGAAGAGACTTCAAATTAGTAGTGTTACATTCTAAGATGGTTGAATAAATGACTTGAGTCGTTGAAAAGTTTCCGCTTAAAGAGCCATTATGGGAGATTAGATAAAAGAGTTGACAGTTCTTGCTAAACATAGATAACGTAAATAGAATATGCTGAAAATTTCAGCCAAATTGCTCCACTCTGAACCGAGATATTAGATTTTGAATTTTAGGCTAGCCTTGATCATCATTACTAAAGTCGGTATGATAAAAAAAACAGTCACGATTATCCATTTTTACATTTAATTATTTAAAAAAAATATATTCCAATCCGCTAAATATCGCAGGATAGCGATGGCATCAAGAGTTGATTATGGTCTGGATAAGTTAATTAAAATGTTTAATTTATAATTTAGATAACATTTCAGGCCTAAAGAAAGACTTGCAATAGGCAGATTTAACTCTTGCATAATGTATGTTTAAGTAACTTGTATTGCTGTCGGACATGTTTGTCTCAACGGAAACAAACATATCATACCCTATAAACATACCTTACATATACATTTAATAAATTCTAGAGCTGGGTTGTTTAACGGTAGATGTGAACCTGGTAACTGGGGAAACTTCTCTATATCACCATGGTTACCCCGATTTCCACTTAATTTCTTTTGTATTTTTTGCGTTAAGCTGCAAAAAAAAAAATTAGATTTATACACAGAAACTTAGAATCTATGATGTCATTGTTAAAAGAGATTAAGGAATCTCTTTTAACTACAATATTGTGAAAGATAAATCTCTAAAATGAATATTAGTACAAAATTGTTTCAGTAGTTACACAAGTATCATGAATTAAAAATTTGTCATGAACTGAAAATTTGTTATGAACTTTGTCATGAATTGAAAATTTGTCATGAATCTGTCAACATTCGGCATCCTCTGTCCACGATATAAACAAGACGTGGTCAAAAGTCAACTGCAATCTTGACGAAAATCCTGATCTTTTTATTTTGTTTTCTTAGTTAAATGTTAAATAATCAATCTTGAGGACATTTTAGCTTGGATCAAGCTGTGGACAATTTTTATATTTTCAGAAACATGCAAATGACGTACAAAGACTTTAAGTTTATGATTTCGGATGTAATCACCTCATTAGACTGGGTGGTAGATTTTAAATCCAAGATTCATGGTGTTAGCAAATCTTAAATGGGTAAGTGTTAAAATATGGGTAAAAAAAATAGCCACAGTGGCTCTGTAAGTAGGGGGCAGTTCCATGGGTAAACAAAGCTGCAAATCCCTAGGAGCCTTCTCAGCCAACACCAGGATCGAATTCTGGACCTCCAGGTTATAGTCAGTCTGAATCTTACTCAGTGAGCCACCATGGCTCCCCATACGTCATTCACCCTGCTGGACAGCAGCGTTGTTGTCACCTTTTCATTGTAGTCCAACTGTCAAGAGATCTTTTGCATACACGCCAATGTGTATACAGGACCTCGTTCTTTTTGTCCTATCCAAATGACTAGATGTTGTTCCTTGCCAGACCCTCTGTCCTTAACGTCTGTTCTGCAACACACTGAAAAATCCTGAGGAACTTTTTCTGCAAAGAACCAGATCAAGCTCAGGACCCTCCAGGTTAGTGAGCCAGTGCCACTGTTGTTCTGGTATCAAGACAAATACAAAACTGACGCTCATTTATTACTTACGAGAACATCTGTTGAGATAACTCTCCATGTACCAGCTCTTGTGAATAGGAGATTGTAGATGGTGTGGCTGATGTATCTATGACAACCGGAGTTTGACTAGAATCTCGACAATGTAGGGGCGTGTTGCCGGGGGTGAAGCGTCTTTGTTCTTCTTGAATATGGTTAAACACAGATAATATATACCCAGCTATCAACATCTAAATACGAGAAACAATTTAACATGTGACTAAATACAGATTACAGATACAGTATGTAAAATTTAGAGTTGGTCGCTCTTGCTATAATAGTTCAAAAATATATAACAAAACATACGTCCACAGCAGCTAAATCGTCCGAGTAGTCGACAAGTGTTGTTGCATATTTATTCTTTTGTAGGTAATTGGGGGCATTTACAATAAAATTTCATATAGATCAGAATATAATTTTTGTCGTTTGAGGGTTCACAAGGTTCTACAAACTGAAACAAGGGCCTTAACTCTGGAAGTAATTTACAGAAAATTTGAAATTTGATATAAATTTCATACAGATTGGATGATAACTTTTGTCATTCGAATGTTCACAAGGTTCACAAAGTAAAACAAGAGCTATAAGTCTGGTTCCTGTAGTACTGTCTCACTTTATTTACATTTATACCTTTAATATACACCTCTGAGTAGAGAGAGAGGAATGGGGTTTAACGTCCACTCAACACAAACTTGGTCATTTCGGAACTACCATATGGTTCAATTTTATTTAAATAATTCACTTGCGCGTAGGGGTCTTTATCAGTGGGAGGAAACCTGAGGGCCCTGAGAAAACTCACGAGATTAGACAGGCGACCCTACTCCTTGTCACGTACAACCAGGGAATCGAAACCATGTCATTTGACTCAATGACAGATCTTATGATACAGCAAGCATGTGCTAACCATTAAGCCATCCAACACTCTCCCCATGGTCTAGAGAATTGATAATAGGTTTGTTACGTGAATACATGTCTAATAATCTATAAAGTATTTGAAGCCAGAAAAATACCCCGTAATTAACCTTTTTCTAATTAAATATGTCAAAGGGTATTCTCCGGGGACGTTAATGAGTAACGTAGAAGATTACTACAGGTAAGTGATTGGTTAATGAGTAATGTAGAAGATTACTACAGGTAAGTGATTGGTTAATGAGTAATGTAGAAGATTACTACAGGTAAGTGATTAGCTAATGAGTAACGTAGAAGATTACTACAGGTAATTAATCAGCTAATTAGTAATGTAGAAGATTACTACTGGTAAGTGATTGGTTAATGAGTAATGTAGAAGATTACTACAGGTAAATGATTGGTTAATGAGTAATGTAGAAGATTACTACAGGTAAGTGATTGCTTAATGAGTAATGTAGATGATTACTACAAGTAAGTGATTGGCTAATGAGTAACGTAGAAGATTACTACGGGCTGGTTCATGAGTAACAGAAGAAAAAGAAAAATTCTTACGTTAAAGTTAGTTTGACAAGCTCCAGCTTCTGGTAAAAATAACATCATATTCCAATTCATCTCAACTTCTGGCTGTAAAAATACAAAATACAATATCAACATGTATCAGGCAAACTTATTTTGAAAATGGGTGATTTTAAAAATCCTCTTTCATCTTTATCAAGAGATCTGTCATTTCAGAGCTATTTATGGAAAAAAGCAAAATAAATGACATCGTGGGGAGGCAACTGTTAGTTGAAATATGTGCTGTAGAGTTTTGCAGCTAGAAAAACTACTTTAAGTCTTTCAAATTTGTATAAAAAAAGAGGAGAAAATATTCAATGACTTAACATAACTCTTAAACCAGTTATGCGATACAGACATTCAATCATTGACTTACTTGATTTTCGGAATCAGATTTATTTAATTCTTCTTCCTGTTCCACTATTTCCTCTCCATCACTTTCTCCATTTTCTCTTACTGCTGCCTTCTGGGATTGATCAGAGGGTAATTTCCCCCGCACTCCTCCATAATTAGCCTACAAAAATTACACATCTGAATAAAACAAAGATCCTATTTTGTTTTTATTAGTTTAGGATTTTTTAATAAGCTCGGTGGTTTGATAAGCTTTAGGATTCATGAATACAGAATTATAGAGCAGTTGAGACCAAAAGTTAAATATGATAGTCTATGTCATTCTGTCAGAGTTCGGCTCTATGACCTCTGACATGACCTCTCTGAAAAATCAGATCAATATGGAGCCTATCAAAAAATGAATATATATAAAATTAATTTCGATCTGCATTTTAATCAGATTCACCAATCAATAATCACACACACTGATTGTCCTGGTTTTATGCAGTACTTTTAATTTTAAGGTAAGATGTTCCAGAAACAAAGAGCACCGGACAAGGAGTAGTGACGTCTGTCTATCCTCATCTTTCTTTTTCAGATTTATCAACTCACCTGATCGAGCCACATGAGTAGTTCCCAGCACTGTTCATATGACATGTCAATCAAATGGAATAGTTCTCGTGACTTAATACTATTGGTGATATATTCCACATACGCCAAAGCATCCACTAATTGTCGTTTCTTTGTACAAAGAATCAGACGATTAAAATTACCATAAACTATGTTTGATCCCAAACGTTTAAACTCGGCTACTAACTAAAAATAAAACATAAAATATTACAATTAAATATATTGTTCAAGAACCATTGGTGAAGCAAAGATTTCAATTATTAAGAGGGTTGGTCCATCAAAATAATCACTGGCCTCCTGCTCTCCATGTTTTAAAGATGGGATTATCTATCCCCTTTATTAATCCCTACAAACTGTTGAATATTGGTATTAAATTATAAATTCTAGCACACATGTAATATACTTGAATATTGCCTGTTGTTTAATATCAATACTGTTCCTCTAATCTAAGATGATTTTTTTCTTACCTGCATAAAGACTTTTTTCATCATATTATGTAACGTTCTTCTTAAGGCTGGATCATAAAGAAGTGAGGAAGGGGATCGCAACCATCTATAAGTTAAAATACAATTTTTTTTCAGTATTTGTTTAAAACCAGTAATCTGAAGCAGTTCTAGCAGTTTTAAGGTAAAAAACTGCAGCCCTACTAGTTGAATAATTTGTCTTTATACTGACGGGATGTCTAATTCTTTATTCGTTGATTATTGCTACACCAGGATCCTCAGCATCGGTCGAGACAGTTCATCAGGATTTTCCGACGTGGTTTCCTCTTGTCAGTGGTGCAGGAAGAAGGGCCTAACAAGGATAGCTGTCTAGTCATTTAGATGGGGTGAAAAATTGAGGCCCCATGTACACATTGGCTGTTCATAAAAAATCCCATGGCAGTTGGAATTTAAAATAAGAATAGGCCATATTGTCGCGGCCCGGGCAAAATTTCCCTCATAGCACACTGCATGGCGTATGCCCATCTTCTTTAGCCCCGTCGGAGCAGAACAGTAGGACTTTAAACCCCATTTGATTTCTTTTTGCTACAGCAGCTGTAAGTATGTACAGACAAAATAGTATAAGGTACAATTAATGAAGCATGAAAGTACTGTAGTAAATACAGGACTTGCTGAGAAAAGACACTCAAGAGAGGTCAGATTATCATGTTTTATGTGTCATAAAAGGAAAGTCTCAGTCACTTGAGCACAGGGCAAAGTAGGATTACTATTTCTAGAACACCCGATACCTCTTCTCATTGGAGTAATCTAATATATACAGGTTTATATGTGCAATAATTTACCTGTAAAAGTGTATAATTTGATTATCAGCGAAGACGTTACTATAAGCTGTTACATCACGTACCCAACCATGGACCATACTCTTTAATATTCTATACAAATATACAATATAACACATGACAAATAATATAATACAACATGACCATTAATATAATATAACAATACATGACCATTACAGTATATTATAATACAATATTATAATATAACAAAACATTATAATATAATAACAATACATGACCATTAATAAAATATAACACATGAATTATTATAAAATAACACATGGCCATTAATACAATATACATGACCATTAATACAATATACATGACCATTATAATATAACAATACACTGTTATACAGGTATCGTATAATACCTAATTTCTTTCACATTTGTTCAATATCAAATCTGTGTTAGACCATTTACTTTGATAATGAGTGTTTTTGAGCACTGTTAAAAAAATAACGTCCCAATTAATTATCATATATTAATAATCAAATAGGTCATTTATTTTTGAATATCTAAAATCAATGATTGTCATGTTGTAAATGTACATACCTGAAAGTTGTAGAACAGAGAGCAGTTTCATCATAACTTGTCAACATCGTGGCTGCACCTTGACCTTGTACCATCTCTTCTAACGACGATTGTGGCATCGTGTCAAAACTCACAGCAGCACTAGCACCCTCATGATCATTTACATGAGCTGACTGAAAAATTCAAAATATTTACATAACTAGACCAGAAAACAAAAAGAGAGAGGGAGAGAAATGGGGTTTAACGTCCACTCGACACAAACTAGGTCATTTCGGGACTAACATATGGTTCAACTTTATTTCAATAATTCGCTTGCGCATAGGGGTCTTTAGCAGTGGGAGGAAACCGGAGGACCCGGAGAAAACCCACGAGGTTGGACAGGCGACCCCACTCCTTGTCACGTACAACCGGGGATTCGAAACCACACCAGTCGACTCAATGACAGACTTTATGATACAGCGCGCGCATGCTAAACATTCAGCCATCCAACCCCCCAGAAAACAAAAAACTATAACATGACTAGACTGGAAAGCCAAAAACTATAACATAATTAGACCGGAATACAAAAAACTATAACATAACTAGACCTGAAAGTGAAAAACTATAACAAAACTAGACCGGAAAACAAAAAAAAACTATAATATAACTAGCCTGGAAAACTATAACATGTTACTATTGTTCTTGTATTTTCTTTTTTATATGACGTGTGTTTGTGTGTGTAAATGGTGTTAGACCGCATTTCGATTTCACCTGTCAAGGGTTCTTTTATGTGCACACCAATGTCTACACAGGAGCTGGTAATACTGGGTATGGGACTTGTTTTAAAAGCATAAAATATGGCAAAAATATAGATCTTGACAAACTGATCATTTTATGAATTCGAACCATCGCAACATGTCACTACATATATAACGACATCATCAATGTATATAATAACTGCATAGAATCATATATTTTAACATTAATTCCAATATTTGTGTTTCCATTCCATACGATGTAGAAGATATCTTGTCCTCTACGCTGTTAACGATCTAATATTAAAATACAGATCTTACATCATCCTTTGTTATTGGCGTATCATTACTTATACTAGTTAAACTTTTGAACCCGTGTGACGTATTGTCTGTATTGTGTAATATATTGAAATAACAACTTGTGACTATATCACTCATGTTTTTTCAATATATTACTTAATGTTTCGCTCTCGACCATTAAACCACACTTAATACATTCCATTTACATTAATTTGTTGCCTACAGTTTTTTGTTTTAAATTTCCAATGCATTTAAATATAACACTCTGCACCGGTTAATTATTTGTTTATATTACATTCCATATATTCATGTTTAATATTTTATAAGATTTTTTCATCTAACAGTTTGTTTTAAAATTCCCAGTGAAAGGACTCAGTGGGGTAAATAAAACTAATTCACTGACAATATTCGTCATGTGTTTTATTAGTTCCACTTTAGTAAATGTTGGTTTTGCTTCATTCCATTTCATTGAGTTTGTCCACCTATTTGAAGTTTAAAACTATATTCCCATGGACGAAAAAATCCTCCAAAAACCTGAGAGATCAGTTTGTTATCTCTTTCAAATACAAAAGAAATATATGTATAAGCTTAGAGAGACAGACATGAAGTCAACACAAACTAGATCATTTCAGAACTAACATATGGTTCAATTTTATTCAGTAATTCGCTTGCATGTAGGGGTCTTTAGCAGTGGGAGGAAACCGGAGGGCTCGCAGAATATCCACGAGGTTGGACAGGTGACTCTAATCCTTGTCACGACCAAGCGGGGAATCGAAGTAATGCCACTTGACTAAATGACAGACCTCCTGATCCAACCCGCACGCGTTAACCATTTGACCACCCAACCCCCATACTAGATACTAACAATCTGATTAGAATACAGATCTATATCTCATTTCATTTTTTTATACTTTCGATGGCCTACACTAAATGGAGATCTGACAAGTTGTACTCAAAGGTCATGTCCAGGGTCTTACGAGCGGCTTTTGATCCGATGACGTCAGACATTGATTAATCAATCAGCGTTGACATTCCTAATGGTTTCCTCAGTTATGTGCATGGCACGCCAAAAAATCGCCATAACAGACCTTTTCATTGGCTAATACCTCACATCATCCAGAATGCGGGTTATATAACAAATATCCAGATCCTAGTGTAGTAAAGTCAAGTAAAACAAAATTTTGAACTATAAAACGAAAGGAAAAAGCATCTGTATTTTAATCAGATTGAATGGAGAGGGAACTGCTTATCCCTCGCTTCAACCAAAAAGCCGGTAAAATAACAACTCTTCCATATCCTAGTGTAGTAAAGACAAATAAAACGAAATTTTGAACTATAAAAAAAGAAACGAAATAAGATCTGTGTTTTGTCTGCGATATCACCTCAGTGGAAGCGGACATAAAATACAACTAACAAACAACAAGATCTGTGTTTTAATCAGATTGAGATACTAGAACTTACTTCTATAATTGTATTAACAGCTAAACTTGTTAAATCTAATTCAACACAAACAGTTGGATAGTGACCTGGATTATTGATTTCAATAGCTGAACTTTCTTGTAATTCCATACATAATCTGTCAATATAAAATATAAGTCAAATAAAAATACAGTTTCTTTTCTTCTGTACAGTCTGTTATTCGGAGCAAATGGTGCCCTATATATACACAAATAACCCCGAGAAAACCATATACTACTGGAAGCAATTCCATTAAAAATAACCCTGTGAAGAGAGAGAGAGAGAGAGAGAGAGAGAGAGAGAGAAATGGGGTTTAAGGTCCACTTGATACAAACTAGGTCATTTCGGGACTAACCCATAGTTCAATTTCATTTCAATAATTTGCTTGCGCGTAGGGGTCTTTAGCAGTAGGAGAACACCAGAGGACCCGGAGAAAACCCACGAGGTTGGACAGGCGACCCTACTCCTTGCCTTGTCATGTACAACCAGGCAATCGAAACCACGCTAGTGGACTCAATGACAGACCGTATGATACAGCTCGCACGTGCTAACCATTCGGCTATCCAACACCCACATTTCATTTCCAGGTTTCGTGAAGATGATTTTACCTGTTATCATCCGCTTCCTTTCCACCAAGATCTGGTCGTTCTGTCGGTGAACACCACAACAGATGATTGTGTTTGTATAGATGTCGAGCGAAGAATAAATCACAGCCATATAAGGTTATATCTTTTGGCATGTTACCAATAGGAATATGTAGATAACGACATTGTTCCATCATTGCCTAAAATAATCAAAATACATCAACATTAATGGCTCAATATCACTCTTGTTGCAACAGAATAATATGTCCCAATCTTTATTCTAGTCAACAAATTGTACTATTATACAATATTCCAATTAACTGATGATACAAATTTCATCTTAACACACCTAATTCAAAAAATTGGAAAAATTCAACTAAATGATTTGAAAAGCCTAACGTAAACCTTTTCAAATGTAGCTTGGATTTTAAAATATTTTCGAACCCTCTGGACAAGTAAAATAGGATTTAATGGATAATTTACACAACAGGTAGGACACTTAAACATCTAATACTTAGAATAAGGTTAATATTTATTTACTGGAACTGTCAAGCCAGCTAGAGTGTTATTGTCCCTTTAATGGACAGACAAGTTAAAGAGAGGGAGAAATGAGGTTTAACGTCCACTCGACACAAACTAGGTCATTTCGGGACTAACACACGATTCAATTTTATTTCAATAATTCACTTGCGCGTAGGAGTCTTTAGCAGTTGGAGGAAACCGGAGGACCCGGTGAAAACCCACGAGGTTGGACAGAGGCGACCCTATTCCTTGTCACATAAAACCGGGGAATCGAAACCACGCCAGTTGACTCAATGACATACATAATGATACAGCACATATGCGCTAACCATTTGGCCACCCAACTCCCCGAATGTCAAAGGGGACTAGAAGCAATTTTTATTTAAATTTGGTAGGGATCTGTAACAAGGGTTTAAAAATATTAAAGTTGACAAGAATAGCATAGTTTACCTGTAAAATGATATCTATGTTTATATAATGTTATAATAATTACCTGTAAAATGATATCTACGTTTAGATAATGTTGTAATAATCTTCTGCATCCTGTTCTCTGCCAGTCTAATACATTATATAAATTATCACTATAATTAGAATATTATCTTAATTAATCTATAGTGATAAAAACAATCTTAAATATACATATATATACGTCATTAGTCAGATCATAATCATTAATCCATATATGTGTAGCATTAACAGTAAGGTACTTATGTAAATTTACCCATGAGGTGTACTTATGTTACACTACCCATGTGGTGCACATATGGTGTTTTACTCATGTGGTGTACTTATGTAACACTATCCATGTGGTGCACTTATGGTGTTTTACCCTTGTGGTGTACTTATAATACTTTACCCATGTGGTGTAGGTTACTTCAATTGCTTTTACCCATGTCTTGTACTTATATTACTTTACTCATGTGGTGTACTTATTTAATAGATGCAGCTTGAAGATCGTTATCTTACCTGTCAGTTATGTGAACAGGTACGAGAGGAAACTCACTTAACCCAGGCATCACAGAAACAAGGTGAGCAAAATCTATAAATACATAAAACAGAGAAAATATTTAACCTTAAAAAATATAAATTATTTTTTTACTTCAATGTTGTTAATCAGGAAAGGGGGGGAACTAGGAGATTATCAATTCATACTCTTTGAAATTCTAACTGTTTGGCATCAAAATTGACTAAGTGGCAATTTCTGTAGCCAGTAAATATCACTAAAAGCATCTACATTATTGTCTATAATCAGGCCTTGGACAAACTTCAGGATTCAAAGATGGTACATACTCTTCCGGGACATATCTGTCAGGACTCAAACCTGGGACATACCAGTCAGGACTCAAACCTTGGACATACCAGTCAGGATTCAAACATGGGACATACCAGTCAGGATTCAAACCTGGGATATACCAGTCAGTATTGGAACTTGCAACATACCAGTCTGGATATACACCTGGGACATACAGTCATTACTGGAACTTGCAACATACCAGTCAGGATTTAAACCTGGGACATACAAGTATTAGAACTTGTGACTCACGAGTCTGGATTCAAACTTGTGACATACCAGTCAGTCTTCAAACCTGAGAGATACCCGCCCAGGGACATCCAAGTCAGAAAATTTACCTAATGCCGATTGTACAGCGATAAATGTTGGTCCTTTTTTCTCGTCCTTATAAGCTGATAACATTCTCTGTATCGTACGATAAACCTGACGAATATCCTTCTCAATTTTATATTCAAAACTATGGCCACCAGGGGGCAGGGTATCTTCGTCTGCTCCTCTTGTTACTCTGAAATTTACAAATATCAAAATAAGTTTGGGAAACTAATCCTCGCTAAAGTACACTTTAGTTTTAGAATATTAACCAAAATAAAAAAGTGTTGAGTAGTAAGGCATCGGCTTAAGAATGATCTGTACATCCAAATGACATTTAATTTATCAGCATAATTTTTTCAAAAAATATCAAATGTTTCAATCTGATTAAAATACAGATATATATTTCGTTTCGTTTTATATACTTTCGATGGCCTACACTACATGAAGATCTGACAAGTTATAGTGGGAGTTCACGTCAGGGGTCAACCGAGTGGCTTTTGACCCTATGACATCAGACATTGATAAATCAATCAGCATTGTCGTTTCTAGTGGTTTACCCACAGTTCCGTGCATAAAAAGGCCAAGAACTCGCCATAACAGACCATTTCATTGGCTAATTCCTCACATCAAGAAGAACGCCTGTTATATAACAACTCTTTCAGATCCTAGTTTTGTAAAGACAAGTAAACGAAATTTTGAACTATAAAAACGAAATGAAATAGGATCTGTGTTTTAATCAGATTGTAAATGTTTCAATATCTATTAATTGATTATTTAACATTTAGTTAAGAAAACACAATCAAAGTATCAATGGTAGTTTATCTCCCAGCTCAGATGGACTTTGATTGATTCTGAATATTACGAAATTTTCAATAAATTTTTAATTCATCATATCTTTGTTGATACTGAACAGAATTGAACCATTTTTTGAGGGACATCTCAAAAAGAGAGAGAGAGAGAGAGAGAGAGAGAGAGAGAGAGGGAGGTTCAATTTTATTTCAATAATTCGTTTGCGCGTAGAGGTCTTTAGTAGGAGGAAACCGGAGGACCAAAAGAAAATCCACAAGGTTTGACAGGCGACCCTACTCCTCGTCACATACAACCGAGGAATCGAAACCCTGTCAGTTGACTCAATGACAGACCTTATGATACAGCGGGCATGTGCTAACCATTCAGCCATCCAACTCCCCACTCTCTTTAAAGAGATTAAACTGTCACAATGCTGCAATTTACAATGAATTTAGCATTCATCATGACGATCAGCTGTTTTAAAGCAATCTGTTTTATTTCTCCCTGATGTAAAATATCTGTCATACTAACTTGTTGTTTCTCTCTGCGTTATATAAAGCTGTTAGATTGGGCATCTGATCACTTCGTACCGTATCAACTACAAATATTATACCTTTCTTCGTCATCGGAAAAAATAAACCATACAACTGTTTCGTTCCACTACAAATACGTAAAATAGAATTAAAGATTCAACACACGAGAAAATAAAACAATGATTATCATACAATTAGAGCCCCAACATACCAGTATAAAACAAGGAATGATCATACAATTAGAACCCCAACATGGCGGTATAAAACAAGGAATGATCATACAATTAGAACCCCAACATGGCGGTATAAAACAAGGAATGATCATACAATTAGAACCCCAACATGCCAGTGTCAAAGGTATATATAGAGCTTTTGACTGCACTATACAAAATCAAACATGTTTTTATCATTTTGATCCAAAAGCTACTCAAGGATGACTTCTAGTTATGGTCATTTACACTGTATTTCTATTGATTTTACAGCACCATCATTCTGTGTCTTAGACAGATATAGTAATAATAATTGTTTGATCTTTTTCGTACGAGATAGTCTATTCATCACAACAGTCATTTCATAATCAGAATTAAGATGAGCTTTATTAGATAATAACGATCAGGCACGGAGTTCACAAAGCATTCTTAGACTTAAGTTACGTATTTACTCAAAATTCTTCGCCTTATTTTAACTAAACTATAGCCCCTTATAAAACTTTTGTTGTTTTAATGTATCAAATACATCAATAAGAAACCATGTGCAAAGTTTTCTGTTTCTAGATCAAAGATATTTCTCATAAACACTGATTGAAAGTTGAGTAAATTCTTCACACAAGTCTGAAAATGCTTTGTGAACTCGGGGCCTGGCATTTTAAATCAAAATCATTTAGTTCAATGTTTCTTTCATCACTGATCAGCTAAAAATGGCATGATTTCCATTGATTTGGATAAAATATAATAATCCGTATACGCAAGTGAAGTTAGAAAAACGAGGGAGCAGAGTTAAAATAGGGTTCTAAGATCAAAAGTTAATAAAACACGAAGGGTTCATAGTTCATAAAATACGAAGGGTTTAGAATTTGGATAGTGTTTTAAGATGAAAAGTTTGAATTCTGTTACCTGGAATGTTGATAAAGGTAAAGATGTTTAATAGATCCTGTCTCCAGATATGGAAACTGAGCCAACGTTCGGAAGTCCAGATTATCCATTTCAAATGTGTCTGTCTCCTGCAATCAATAATTATCATATTTATATTATGAATTAATGGATTCGAAAAAAAAATCTTGAAATGATAAATAAACAAATTTATTCACAACTTGGTGCCCACACTTTAAGGAGGCCACAGTGGATCAGTTAGTAAGGCACTGGCTCACTAACCAGGTGGTTCCCAGATCCATGCAGGTGTTGTCTGAGAAAGTTCCTGTCTGGTTCCCCTTGTCAGTGGTGCAGGACTGAGGGTCTGCATGGAATAGAGTCTTCGGATGGGAAGCAGTTCTATGAAGAGTAGGTGGAAGTCGTGCCACTGACTGGGCAAAATTTCCCTTATAGCTTATGCCCATGTTCTGTATCCCGGTTAGTGCAAAAAAGCTGACATTAAACCCAATTCATTGTACATACATATCAGAATATTATGATGGTGGATTAATTCTTCGACAAAATCATGAATTATACTGTATAGGAGACTGAACAACACCTGCATACAAGCCACGCAAAGTTGTTTTTTCCACAAAACTATTTCACGTTTATTTACATAAAGAAAAGCAGAACATGATGTCCAGAACTATTTTGACTTTGCTCATACAGTAATTATTTACACAGAATTCTTCAATAAAATCAAGAAACAGTTTAATTATGTTTATGTATACTCACCCTTCCTGACATCTGATTAGCAAATTCTCTATTAACCGTGACAACACAACCCAGTTGTATTAAAGCACGGAAATCTAACGGTACCTGGGTCTCGTAAACTCCTTCAATATCAGGTGAAGACAGATCCGCATTAATGTCACTGTAATAATTAATATTGTTTTAATATAGTATTTGTCACCAACAAACAAATGTGAGTCAAGAACTACTTGAATAATATTGTTTTGATACAAGACTTCTCACTAGCAAACACATGGTGAGTCAAGAACTACTCAAATAATATTGTTTTAATACAAGACTTCTCACCAGCAAACAAATGGTGAGTATAGAACTAGGCCTACTTGAATAATATCATTTTAATGCAGGTCTTGATACCAGCAAATCAATGGCAGGGAGTTGTCACCAGCAAACCAATGACTAATAGATGACGAGGTAAGTAAATGTAATTAAGCGCCCAGAATTAAAGTAGTTATTTCTACTGGCCACTGCTGAGCATGTTGGAGGGACTTTGGAACAAATTACTCAATCAGCACAAAGAATTGAAGGAGGCCATAGTGAGCTCCCTTTGAGTGTGTTGTATAACTGTGACTCTCAAGTCTACCCACTAGGTGGTAGCATAGTTGACCTAATAGTAGCGCCGAGCCTTGAATTCAGTCTTTGGTATTTTCAAAAACAATTCTCAGTTTTTAATTTACATTTTGTAACTTGAGTTGTGTTAAATCTTACTTGATATGTTGTATATAGACATCTTCTGGTACAGAATATTGATATAAATTAAACACAGGATGTGATCGTGGTAATGTCTTCATACTCTTCTTCCATACTATAATAAATACAACACGATATATTAACACGTCTTCCATTATAATATATACAACACGATATATTAACACTTCTTCCATACTATAATAAATACAACACGATATATTAACACTTCTTCTATACTATGATAAATACAACACGATATATTAGCACTTCTTCTATACTATAATATATACAACACGATATATTAACACTTCTTCTATACTATGATAAATACAACACAATATATTAACACTTCTTATATACTATAATATATACAACACGATATATTAACACTAGTGATGTAAACTGAGTTCAAAGCATCTACAAGATGACAGGGGCAATAACTCTGCATAAGACTTATAGACAATTCTGAGTTTCGATAGGGTTCCTCATTATGAACAGCCAAAAATATTAGTAAGTTTGAATCTTACCTCCAAAAGTGAATAATTATTGCTGTAAACGAAGTTACAATTGCGAGAAATTTTAATGTCTACGATTCTCTGCAATATTTCTGCAAGCGCAGTTATCACTGCAGCAAGTTTTAATATTTGATTGTCTGCAATTAGCTGATAATAAATGAAGCCATCTTCTTGATGATGTACCCCTGGGGCGAATTCAGAAACCTAAAAATATTCCATTGACTGTCATAAGCTAGACAATAGCAAAATGGCATAGTTTGATATACTTACGTTCACCTTCGCCTTGTTTAGGAGTTTTCTGATTGACATAAAATATTCTCGGTACCACCAACTTCATAGCATGGAGATCGGAACCAATTAGAGCCCAGAGTTTAAACTGACCAGGATGTGCGGTTTCTGCCAACTAGAAATTGATTAAACAAAAACATGGAGCATTAATTGGTTTGGATGCGATTACATTGTTTACATTTACAAATGTGTGTGGACTCAATGCAGAGAGACCATGAGTATGAGTTGTGGTCTTTAGCAGTGGGAGAAAACCAAAGGAACCTGAGAAAACCCATGAGGTTGGACAGACGTCCCCCACTTGTCATGTACAAGTTGTGAATCGCAACCACACCACCTGACTTAATGACAGACCTTATGGTTTCACGCACATAAGTTAAACCACTAGATTATCCAAATCAAAGAAGAGTAGGTGGAAGTGACATGTTCCGGGCAATATTCATTCAATCATATTGTACATTGTTAACACAGAAATAAAACTTTCAAGCTGTATTTAGTTGTAAAACCCCATTTCACATCTCTTTAAAATCTTACCTGTACAATCTGCCATGGCATGTCCATCATACTTCTGGCTGTTTTACGTAGAAATCCACCCAATCCTCTGGAAGGCGTGATAGTTGTATTAGAAACATCAAATTCTGTTCTTCTACGTTTTCTGTCCTGTTTTTCCTTGGCTTGTAATTCCCATTTCTTTTTATGATATTCAACCCATACTTTTCTCTCCTCCTGAAATATATCAAGTTCAAAATGAGAGAGAGAGAGAGAGGGATAGAGAGAGAGAGAGAGAGAGGGGGGGGGGGTAATTAACTGTCCACTTGACACAAACCAGGTTATTGCAGAACTAAAATATGGTGCAATTTTATTTCAATAATTTGCAGCGGGAGGAAACTGGAGGACCCGGAGAAAACCCACGAAGTTGGACAGGCGACCCTACTCCTTGTCACGTGCAACCTGGGAATGAAAACCACGCCACTTGACTCCATGACAGACCTTATGATACAGCGCGCACAAACTAACCGTTCGGCCATCCAACCCCCCTATTTAGTTAAGAGCAGATAGCTCTCGCTATAATAGTTAAAAAGAAGATAATGAAAAGGGAATATTTTAAAATTTCAGTCAAATTACTTCAATCTGAGTGACATTAGGGCTGTTTGCAAAACAGTGGAGTCTTGATTGTCGTTACTACTGCTGTTACGATAGAAAAACAAAGTCTAGATTATCTAGTTTTTAATTAAATCATTAACCAAAAATCATGTTTAAATTCATTGCTACCATTGTTACGATAGTAAACAAAGTCTTGATCATATAGTTTTTAATTAAATCATTAACTGTCAATCGTGTTTAAATCCATTGAAAATATAAAGCATCTGATGGCATCAAGAGTTGATTATGATCTTGGCAAGTTAATAAATGATTAAATAATAATTTAGATAACATTTCAGGCCTAAAGTAAGACCGCAACAGACAGATTTAGCTCTAGCATAATGCATCTTTTATGAATTTCCATAATTCATTAAAGGAATTAAAATTCCATTGTTTAATTCATTGCATGAGTGACCTGTTATAATAGCCACAATCACTAACGACTCACTATAAGTTAGAAAATATGACAACATTATGTTGTTTAAATTGTTTTTATAAGACTAACCTTCGTGGAGCCCATGGGTGGGGGTGGACCAAGTATTTCTCTCCACGACTGGGAACCCTGGGTATTCTGTGTATTCTGATCCATACTATCGTTACCAGACTGGGCTCGTTTACGTTTATGAGAGATGGCCATTCCGTTATTATTTGTACCATTTACACGACCACCTATATCTTCAATATCTGCTAGTCCGTTCTGAGACGACGGAATCATATCTTGGAAATCCTCATCCTAAAAAAAGAGATATGATTTAATTGGACTGGAAACAATTCTATGGAAAACAATTAAATCTTTGCTCTATACACCAAGAAATCCTCGTAGAAATGGCATTCAGAAATAACAGTAATATAGTATATGGTAGTTCTTCTGTCTTTCTGAGTATCAAAGAGAGCGAGAATAAAATTCTAATGCGCCTTTTTGAGTAACAAAGAAAGAGAGCATAGAAGAATAGAAGTCTAATATCGTCCTGGAGAAACTCCTAGGATCCAAATATATACATGTAGTAAGAAAAAAACATTGATTTTATCTCATTTAAATAATTGTTTTGTTTATTGAGCTCAATTATTAAATGCTGTTTATACTTTAAATACAGAGACCTGCCTCAACAGTTCTAACTATAACTTGTACAGTAAATATAGAGACGTAACTCAACAGCAGTTCTAGCTATAACTTATACCGTAAATACATAAACCTACCTGTATAGCAGGTCTAACTGTAACTTGTATGTTAAATACAGAGATCTACCTCTATAACAGGACTAGTAAAATCTTATACAGTAATAGTAAGTGCAGGGGGACCACAACACACACAAACAATTACACAAGACAAACCTACAGACAGGACACAACAATACACAGACACCACAAACAACAAGTGAAAAAAACCAAAAAAAACTAAAGGGGGGGGGGAGGGAGAGGGAGAGAGAGAAATGCGTTTATTTTGGGACTAACATAAGGATTAATTTTATTTCATTAATTCTTTTGAATTTTGGATCCGGAGAAAACCCACGAGGTTGGGCAGGTGACCCTACTCCTTGTCAGGTACAACCAGGGAATCAAAGTCACGCCATTTGACTCAATGACAGATCTTAGTATATAACGTGCATGCGCTAACCATTCGGCCACACACAAGCCCCCGCCCCCTCGGAGAAGGGAAGCAACACAAGAAAAACAGAAACCTACCTCTATAGCAGGTCTAGCAGAAACTGTAAACATCTCACTGATTTTCTTCTGTTTAAAAACATCATTTCTTTCTAATAATTTCTTCCGTAACCAGTCGGGATGCGGTATTCTGGGGACAGGGTTGGGCACTGACTGTAGAGCAGCAGGAATCGTGATAATCTTCATGATAGTGCCACCCAGACGTTCGATATAATACTGCCAGTCTAAAATCTCACGAATATCAAAATCATTCAGATCCTGACGTTTCAGCCATTTTCTCAAATAATGTTTTTTGATTGATGGTTCGGCCTGAAAGATAGCCAATGGGATGGCTCGTTCTGTGACCGGTGCACCGTCAGGTTTTTTAGAAATAACGTAACGACAACTGAGACCAGCGTCTTTAACCATTTGATCCCCCAGAAATTCAGCCAAACGTCTTGCGGTACTGATGGATGTTGACTTCTGGCTGCCGTACTCTTCTAATTTCTTGGACATACTTCGATTCTCTGCAATAAGTTCGAATAATTCTGAGTCCGGCATGTTAGCCGCCTTACTGTATAAAACATCCAACCAGTAGTCAGCTATCTTAGCAACAGCTTCATAACATTCTTCTAATGTCTTTCCTTTTAAAAACGCCTCGAAGACGGACGACTGAAAAATCTTGATTAATTGCAACTCTCCACGCCTTTTGACTTCGAATCCTTTCAACTCGGCCAATGAGCCGTCAAAATTGAACACAGCATAGCGCTTCTTTAACTTTTTTCCCTCTTCCTTCGAGGCCGGTAAAATCATAGCAAGATACGGTCCGTCAACCTCGAAGAAAATGGAGTTTTCCTGGCGAACGGAATATTTCATGGTGACGGGATCGTCCAGTTCCTGATACTGTTCGTTAGTGAAAAAATCCTGAAAGTGAATTAAATAATATATAGTAATAAAACAAAAAGAGAGGAGAGAGAGGAATGGGGTTTCAAATAAAATCGACAGAAACCAGTCACTTCAGAATACGCTGTACAATTTTAATTTAAGAATTCACCTGCATAGAGGGGGTCTTTTGCAATGGGCAGAAAGTTGAGGACCTGGTTGGACAGGAAACCATGACCTTGAAAATCAGCTCTGGAACTTTCAGTTTGAATTCCTGGTCAGTGGTGCAGGACAACCAGGCATGGCAAAAGTGTCTAGTCCTTTGGATGGGTCAATAAACATACCATTGGCAGTATGTGTAGCGTCAATGTCACAGCTAAACATCCATTAACAGAGCTAAACATCTATTATCAGAACTAAACATCTATTGTCAGAGCTAAACAGCCATTGTCAGAGCTAAACAGCCACTGTCAGAGCTAAACAGCCATAGTCAGAGCTGAACAGCTACTGTCAGAGCTAAACGTCCATTATTGTTCCCTTATTCTCCTAAACATATGCATAAAAACAGAAATTGTGTAAACATGACATACTGACCTTAACCATGACGTTTAACATGGCGCCAGGATATGATATGGTTACTTTAGATTTCTTGGGGTTCGTAGATTTGATGACATAATTTTCAGGGAAGGTGGCAGGTAATATACACCAAATACCATCCGTATCTAACTCTAGGGGACGACTGAAATATATAGATAATTATATATGTCAAACATTTGTCAGGGATTAAGAATATTTTAATTACTGGTACTGTGAGATAATCTAGACAAAGTGCTGACTAGACCCAATATTATGAGGGCAGGAACAATATTGAGAATTTAGGCCATATTGCTTGTGCTTTAGATTATAAGGTCTGTTATTGTGTCAAGGGTCATGGTTTCTAGAAATGTCGCCTGTCCAACTTTGTGGATTTTCTTCAGGTACCCCCGAATTCCTACCAGTGCTAAAGACATATATGTGCAAGTGAATTATTGAAATAAAATTGAACCATATGTTAGTCCCAAACTGAACTAGTTTGTGTCGCATGGACATTAAGCCCTATTTCGATCCATCTATCGCAGCAATGACTTTTCAAGCAACACCATGCCCCAACTTGAAATAACTATCAAATGAATATAAAACATCACACTTCGACTAGTTCACATGTAATAAAGACAATGACAGGTTGACAGTAACACATGTAATAAAGACAATAACAGTTTGACAGTAATACGTGTAATAAAGACAATAACAGGTTGACAGTAACACATGTAATAAAGGCAATAACAGTTTGACAGTAACACGTGTAATAAAGACAATAACAGGTTGACAGTAACACATGTAATAAAGGCAATAACAGGTTGACAGTAACACGTGTAATAAAGGCAATAACAGGTTGACAGTAACAAATGTAATAAGAGGGTAACACATGATACAAATATTAAATGTCATGACATACCCAATCTGTTCTACAATTTCTCTAGCTTTAGTGATAATACTGGCTCCTGTATAACATACAATACCAGCCATTTCCATACTATACCATCTAGCTCTAGAATTAAATACAAAAACATAATATAATACATGGTGATTATGATAATGATAAAGATGATGATAACAAAGATAATAACAAAGATAATGAAGATATTCATGATGAAGATAAAGATAATAACAAAGATGATAAAGATAATAACAAAGACAATGATGATAACAAAGACAATGATGATAACAAAGATAATGATGATGATAACAAAGATAATGATGACGATAAAGAAGATCATGACAAAGACAATGAAGATATTCATGATGTTTATGATTGATATAGTCATCAAAAGCGAGCATCACCTATGTGTTATTTGAAAACTTTTAGATAGGTATCATTTTAATCTGATTAAATCCAAGGAGATTATCTACCATCGATAATTTGGTTTTATTTCTTACTTAAGTTAAGAATTTACTCAAAATTGTTCGCCTTATTTTAACTAAAATATAGCTTTTTACAAAAGTTTTGTTGTTGTAATGTGTCAAATACATCAATAAGTAACAATGTGCAAGGTGCTATGTTTCTAGATCAAAGATATTTCTCATAAACAGTGATTGAAAGTTGAGTAAATTCTTAACTTAAGTCTGAGAATGCTTTGTGAACTCTGGGCCTACTATTACGAAACAGCTTTATACTCACCCTTTTCTCATAACATAACCATAGAAAGAATTGAGGATACATTTATGAGCCAACTGTAACGAATCGTACAGTACCACCATTCCGTTCGCTCTCTTGATTTCAGCTGCATCTTTACTTCCTTCTGCTTCTGACAATTTCTTCTTCCACACCTTTACCAAGCCTTTAAACTCGTATCGACGATCACGGAAAGCTCGTACTGTGTCCACATAGAATGAATTTTCTCTTTGACATATCGTAGCAACCCTCTCCTCCATTCTTGTAGATTTGGTTTTCTTGTAAGCTTTTCGACAATAATCTATTTAAGTAAAATAAGTATATTTAAATTACAAGAATAGATGGGATTATTGCCTGTGTCCACTTGACACAAACTAGGTCATTTTGAGACTAACATATGGTTCCATTTTATTTCAATAATCCGCTTGAACGTATGGGTCTTTCATAGTGGGAAACCATGAGGATGGACAGGTGGCCCTCCTCCTTGTCCAAACCATACCACTTGACTCAATAACAGACCTTACGATTTTATGTATACGCATTAAACTCTTAGACAGCCGCACCCCCCCACCCCCCAAGTCTTGGAGAAACTGAACACAAGTTTGTCAATGAGGGAACTTGTTTACTGAAATGAAATGGGGGTTTAACGTCCTACTATTCTGCTCCAAACTGGGCTAATGAAGGCGAGCATACACCATACAGTGTGCTATAAGAGAAATTTTGCCCGGACAGCGGCACTACGGCCTACTCTTATATCGAATTACAACTATCAAGGGATCTTTTACATGCACACAGGACCTCGTTTTTTTGTCCCATTGGAATGACTAGATAGCTGTCCTTGTCAGGCCTTCCGTCCTGCATCACTGACAAGGGGGTATCACGCTGGAAAATCTGGATAAACTTTCAGGGATCGAGCCAGCGTCTTCCTACTTAGCCACCATGATCCCCAACCTGTTTACTATACCTGCTAATCGTTTTTTCTCTATAGTTGCCTGTTCTTCTCGATGTAACTGATGAAAGGCTCGAGGTTCACCACCAGGATATTGAGGTGGGAATTTCTCATTCTCTAACTGTTGTTGTATTCGATGAAATTCATTTCTTGATGCAGGCACTGAAAATATTCAAACATACATTGACTAATCATTATGATTGCTTAGTGTTGAGACGATGGCTTGAGGGGTAGCCCAATGGATTTTATACTCCCCAAGTCAGTAATCCATGGATACAATGACTTGAAGGGTAGCCCAATTGATCTTATACTACCCCTGTCTGTAATACATGCTGCCATACCAAACACTATTTCTTGTGTATTTCAGCTACTGATCATCGTGAGAGTTTATGAATCCCTTGTAAACTACAATATTTGTGAAAGTCAAACCTCTTAAAGAAATGTAAATCCCAAAAACGTTTCGCAACATTCATTTTCCTCTACAGATGATATAAACAAGCCAACACTATGAGTGTTGGGTAGAGAGAGAGAGAGAGAGAGAGAAATGGGGTTTAATGTCCACTCGACACAAACCAGGTCATTTCGGGACTAAGGTATGGTTTAATTTTATTTCAATAATTCACTTGCGCGTAGGTGTCTTTAGCAGTGGAAGGAAACCGGAATACCCAGAGAAAACCCACGAGGTTGGACAGGCAACCCTTCTCCTTGTCACGTACAACCGGGGATTCGAAACCACGCCAGTTGACTCAATGACAGACTTTATGATACAGCATGCACACGCTAACCATTCAGCCATCCAATCCCTCGGTGTTGGGTAGAATCTTTTGATGAGTCTCTTTTTAATCTGGCTGATTCCCAGCCGGGAGATTATTTACCGTTGATAGCTTTGTTGTTCTGATCAAATATATGAGTACATTTAAACCCGCCGTGGACCAACTAACATTTGTTGGCGCCTAGCAAAACAAATGTTTTATACCTTTTTTTTAAATTTCCGAAGAATGTTTAAATCAAAGGACCAACATTTATTCAAAAGAGACGGATGTGGATGTCACATGATTGACTCAAACATCACGTGGTAACAAAATGGCAAAGTCGGCCATTTCTGTACCAAGCGATTGTTAACAAAATACTGCTTTGATGTTTGTAGAAATGTTTCAATCTTTGTTGAAATTCAACGCAAACGAGGCCAACACGAACATTGGTTGCTAAACAATATTTTTGAATCAAACCAGTTTGATATTGCAAGTATTGTTCGTCCAATAAATGTTTGCGTTGAAATCCAACGCACACTGGATAACTTTTGTCAGAAAACATTGTTCGGGCTTAAAATTGTGGGTATAAAAACGAGTGACTTACTGAACTCTCCTCTCCACATCCAGGACATATCTCTCTGGCAGACGGCACCAGGTTTATTAAAATCACACGCAGCACATGTCGCTTCATCAACTATAGCTGGTGGCTGAAATGAGAAATAGAACAGGAAACTAATATCAGTGCAGGACGACCACACCACATATGACAAGAATCCCTTTAGGACTACGTCAATATATGTATAGTCACTCGACACAACCTATGTCATTTCGGGATTAACATATGGTACACTTTCATTTGCAAGCTCAGTATCAAAATCCTGCCACTTGTCTCAATGTCAGACCTTTCAGGTATCGTTTAATCTTGTGTATTTAGCTGTAATTTCTTTAACATTCATTCTAATATCAAATCTGCTTGAAGATTTGTAAAAATCATCTGAAATCAACCCAAATCTTCTCATTTGTACTTCTGTCCAATTTAAAGCTGACCGTTTGAATGTCAAATTTACAAGCTCTTAATTTACCTTGATTATTAATGTAAAATCAGTCATTGGGACAAAAGAATATACCTGTATATGTTTAATTACCTGTAATCTGTTGGTCAATATAATATTAGGATACATGGCACCAACATCCAGATGGTAAATAATAGGATTCTCTAATCTATTCGGACAATCTCGTAACATTGATAATTTCTCTGTTACATCATCACAAACCTAAAATAAAAACAGTTGATTATTCCTTTGATGTTAGCTTACCATTATTTCAAATAATGTACGGACAACTCACCAATCCTAAAATATTTATACCAGATGAAATATTTGACTCACATGACGATTTCATTGAAATAAACAGTGTCTGTATTTTAAGTTGTTTAATGGTCTCGAGCAAGACATTGCCTAATATATTGAAACAACACTCAGATGAACGTCCTTGTGCGGTACCAATATACTACTTAATGTGTCGGTCTTGAACATTAACCACACTTAAATTTAATGGTAATTTAAACATTCAGTTGATCCAATAATCCTCACATTCTTTTTGTCATTCTTAGTGTTTACCGCCCACTTCCACCAAAGGTGATATCGCAGACAAGTTGTCTTATTTTCATTTTAATTATCTTAGCGCATGTGCAGGTGTCTTTCCTGTGGGAGGAAACTGGAGTATGCTGAGTAAACCCATGAGGTTGAGAAGGCGCCCCTATCTCCAAGCCACATACACTCACACCAGGGATCGAAAAAAACAACGGCGGGCCAGAGATGACCGGCCAGCTAGAGGTCGTAGCGCGGCACTCTAGACCACTAGGCCATAGCACCCCCTCTATCCTCACATTCTTTTTATAGTATTTATATACTCCCCCACATCTTCTGTAGGGATCACAGTGTTGAAATCACATGTAAAATTGGGTTACTAGTTAGTATGGCTTTATCTGAACTGCATCAATTTTAAGGAATTCAGTTCAAGAAATTATAAAACTAAAGCCATAATATGTAACAAGATGCTAAAAAGTATAGCCATTAAGACAAATTTTAATTTTTTAATTTTACCTCTTTAAAGTTAGTAACTTGATCTAATGGTATTTTTTCTTCTACTTCAATACAAAACTTCATTGTTCTTTCAACGTTATCTATCAATGTTTGAAACGCTTCTGGTACCTGAACAAATAAAATATTAACATAGGATGCCAGCCAATGAAAATACATTATAGGATGCTAGCCAATGAAACATAGCTAAGCCATCTGACCAGTTCACGAGTGCAACAGCTTGGCGAATGTGATACACATCTTGTAAGAGTCTTCACAAAAATCTTGAATAGTACTTACAAAAAAACAAAACAATTAGTCAAAGTCAAAAAAAAAGAGAGAGAGAGAGAGAGAGAGAGAGAGAGAGAGAGAGAGAGAGAGAGTTTAATGTCCCCTCATACATATTTCTACATGTCAGATAGGTTTTAAGAAATAAAATTTACTCACCATTCTAAATCTAGCTGGTACATCTGCTCTATAAACACCAGATTCTATGGCCTCTACGTGCCCTCCGACATACGTCTCTGAATCTAAAACATGGCCGTCCTCCGTTAATCTATTTAATATAGACTCTTGTTTATTAGGGAACACAATATTAGCGTGATACGCCTGCACCATCAACAACGCCTCACACAGTGTACCAGAGCCTTTACGTAGAACCTGTTAATACAAAATTTTATTATATTGGCGACATTTTTGTAATCAGTAAAACAATTTTTCCTAGACATGACTTCCTGACATCATTACATTGAGCAACTGGGTTAATAAAGACGGAGCATACGCCATGCAGTGCGCTATGAGGGAAATTTTCCCAGACAGCGACACTATGGCCTACTCTTACATCAAATTCCAACTGTTCAGGGATCTTTTACGTGCACACCAATGTATACACAGGACCTCAGTTTTTTGTTCCATCCGAATGACTAGACAGCTGTCCTTGTCAGGCCCTCCATCCTACATCACTGACAAGGGGGAACCACGCCAGAAAATCTGGATGAACTTTATCGGCCAATGAAGGGATCGAACACGGGACCTCAAGGTTAGCGAGCCAACTTCTTACCCACTTAGCCACCGTGGCCCCTCATTAAATTGAGCAATTGGGTTAATGAAGACAGGCATATGCTATGCAGTGTTCTATGAGGAAAATATCGTCTGGACAGCGGCACTGCAGCCTACTCTTATATCAAATTCTAACTGCCAAGGGATCTTTTATGTGCATGCCAATGTGTACACAGAACCTCGGTTTTCATCCCATCCGAACAACTATATGTTGTGCCCTATTTCTAATTCCAACTGTTGAGGGATCGTTAACATGCTGCCAATTTATATGTAATACAGACTAATTAATTATTCGACACCGCCCGGCAAAGTAAACAGTTGTAAACCTGACACTCATTATCTAGACGGACAATCTTAAATTATGCGACAACAGTAACCCAATAGTTTTCGAAGATTCTCAATGAATTTTAACAATTTGCCAATAATGGTTTGAATCCAATCATTTAATAAGAAACTAGCACTAAACAGCTAAACGATACCTAAGTTGTAGTGATTCATATCAGAATTTAAGCTCACCTCGTCTGGTTCCATAGGAATAATTGTACACAAGGCAAAGATAAATGGATGAACATATTTCATATATAGATAATACGTAGCTACAGCATCTGATACAGAATAGTTAGCTAAAACCTGTAATATACAAACATATTGCATATATATATAATACGCAGCTACGGCATGTCATTCTGGGGGAGTTTTTCAAAGAGATCGGTTTTTTGATGTTTGCAAACAGTGAAATTAAGAAAACAATGACTGATTAACAATATAAAAAAAAACACAGATGAAAAGACAATTTTTTTCAAATCTGTAATGCACTAAAAGACAGACATCAGAGATATTGTGCCTGTTCAAAATCTGAACTAGTCTCTAACAATGTCTAAGAATATCACGATTTAGAAGTACCTGTAGTTCTTCAATTAAATAATCAAGAATATTACGATGTACACATACCTGTGGTTCTTCACTAGCTAATCTACACATCTCTTCTGGATCTAATTCTACTGGATCATAACGTAACTTAGCCTACGAATAAACAATTGAGCTGTTTACAAACAAATATTTGATATTTATCGTAATCAGTCCAGGGTAGTTGCGGTGTTACGGGGGAAGAATAAGTCGTGTAACTAGAAAATTGTTTGTTGGAATCTTAATCATGGACGAGAAAGAATCTTCAGGAATTCTTTCAAACCATATTCACATGTCCTGTGGAACATCTGTATGTTCGTTAAGGATGAAGTGTGTCAAATACCCATGGCTCACCTGTGTTTTAGGTAAGAACAAAGTTTCTCAAATACCAATGAATCACCTGTGTATCCAGTACGAATGGAGTGAATCAAATAGCTATAGAGAACCTGTATATCAGTTAATGATGAAGTGAATAAAATACCCATGGAACACCTGTATGGCAGGTATGAATGGAGTGAATCAAATATCCATGGATCACCTGTATGTTGGTTAATGATAGTGAATAAAATAGCCATGGAACACGCCTGTGTCTGGCAAGAATGGAGTGAATCAAACGTGCATGAAACACCTGTGTTTTAGGTAAGAACAAAGTGAATACTTACTTTAGCTACAGCTTTTAAATTCTGACTACCAACAGGTAAATAGCTGTCTCGTTTTACCCACCTACAAACATATCATATATATAATGTTAAAAATGTACATTTGAAATATATTTATATCATGATAAAAATGTACATTTGAAATATAGATAGTAAATTTATTCATGTAACTTTGCAGTGTGCCATGAGGGAGCGAGAACAAGAATGGTCCTATTTTTTGTCCTATCCCAACAACTAGACACTTGCCAGTCCCCATACCCAAATTCCAACTATACATCCATGAGAACGAGAACAAGGATAGTCCTGTTTTCCTTCAATAGCAAGACGCTTGCCAGTCGCCATGCTTCTTTGACATAGGGAAACCTCACTGGAAAATCTTTAGGAAATTTCTCGGCCAACACAAGATCGAACATATGAATTATCTTTATGCCTTCATTTCAAACAAAACATAGATAGTGGTTAATTAATATATTATGAATTTGGAGGGGTTCAAGTCATTGAAGACTGTACTGTGTAAAAAATTAAAAGCAGAATATATATATGTCATGGGGAATTTGGGGTAAATTCAAGGACAATATCTTTATAAACCAAGAGCCTTACACATAAAAATTAAACTAAAATAATTTAAGAATGCAATATGCTGTGAGATAAATTTTGACATGGCCTACTCTTATATTGAATTGTATACACAGGACCTCAGTTTTCCGTTCCATCCGAACAACTAGACAGCTTTCCTTGTCAGGCCCTCTGCCCTAAACCACTGACAAGGTGGAACCGAATCGAAAAATCCTGTGGAATTGTCTTGGCCAACACTGGTATTAAACCCATGACCTTCAGGCTGGGGAACCAATGTCTTACTTACTGAGCCACTGAGGCTCGCATCTTGACAAATAAATTGGAATGTATAAAATACTAACTTAAAACAATCCATGTGTATTCCAGTTCTAGATTTATATTCTCCTTGACTATCTTTACATACTCCGATCTCTCGTTCTAAATCTATCCCATGAAACCCGGCTCTTGCCTCTACAAACGGCCAATCGAAGAAATCACCGTTATATGTGACATATATATGTGGTTTAACTTCTACAATATGGTCTATAAATCTCTGGATTAACGCAACCTAATAACACAAAAACAATTAAATAAATCACAGAAAAAAAACCTGTAATACTCTTCAATCATTTATGCTAATTCTATTAGAACTATTCCATTTAAAATTATCTGGGGGGTGTGAGGGGTGTGGGGGTGTGACTTATTCTAGAAACTATCCCGCCCCTACTCCACTCCCTTTACCAACCATATCTATACTAATATTTGTGAAGTTTGTCTGTCTGTTTGTCTGTCTGTTCGGGGTTGGCGGCTACACTACATGTAGGTCTGCCCCGAGTCTGAAATTTGGGGTATAGGGGTAGCTCGGACCGGGGAGTAACATACCGGGCATTCTTCTAGTTACATATATTTGTATATTTTTTAACACCACTACCGGTCGGATCTTTTCCTAAAAATTGTATTTAAGACATCTTGAGAATTTTTCAAGACCCTTTTTACAGAGGGAATACCATTTTTCTAGACCCTAACAACCACCAGATTATTTCAAAGGGTGGTTTTTACATGGAATATCAAGTATGTTTTCTTTTAAATTATACAAAATTTACAGATATGGAGGAACATCTGATACTATGCTAATATTGCACAGAGAATAGGAAATGTTGTACAAATGAAATGGGGTTAAACATCCTAGCTCCAACTGGGCTAATAAAGACAGGGGTTCGCCATACAGTTTGCTATGGGTGAGATTTTGCCCCGACAGCGGCATTACAGCCTTCCGCAGGGCTTGCCACGAGACGCGAGTAATTACTCGCGCGCACGCTACGCTCGCGTAAAACCAAATTTACGTGAGTGATTAAGTACTCGCGCAAATATAAAAAATAATTTAATCAGAAATAATTGAATATCGTAATATAAAAAGCCGTAAACAATTTGTATGCCTTCATATCGATGCACTATTGCGCACGCGGCGTGTCTTTCCAGTGCCAACTGTTGTTACTAAAAATACTTTGAGACGGGTACTGCCAGGCGTTTTTTAAGCGGATGTCCTTTGCCGTGTCTGGATAATCAAACATTGAGCGGATGTTGTCGTTTCTATTAATAGCAATTCTTTCGATCCCGCATCTTTTCTGCAAATTGATGGGATTGAAATTGTTTTGCCTGTTCTTTTACCTTTCTAAGCTTTACCCGAATCCCCTCAGCACGCCAACGATGGCAAAGGGAAGCCCAGTTTCTCTTGCAACGTTCTTGTCATGGGAAGACGATTAACAGATATTTTTTTTTGCCAAGGAAATAAAAGAGTATGCATTGTCATTGTGTGTGTGTGAAATAGCTTTATTCAACGTCCGCTTCCACCGAAGTGACAAGAGCATTGCCATTAGGCTCATGAAATTTAAATGGCTACTCACGCACATCATTCTGCGTGAGTAAATACATGTACTCGCCTCACTCGCGCAAGTCTATATTTGCGTGAGTAGTCATCTACTCGCCTCCAATTTGCTCATGGCAAGCCCTGCTACTGACATATAAAATTTAAACTGGGAAGGGTTCTTTCATGTGAATCCCAATGTGCACAGGAGAACTTGGTTTTCCGACCCATCCAAATGACTATACGTTGTCCCTTGCCAGACCCTCCGTCCTGCACCACTGCTGTACAAATCGGTTGTAATGTCTGTACATACCGTATTTTTCGGTGTATAAGGCGCACTTTTTTTACCAGGTATTTTATTTTCTAGAAGGGGTGCGTCTAATACATAGTATTTAGCAAATCTTGGCCTTTCTGTGTGTCAACATAGAGGTCTGAAGTTGATCATATCGACAACAGCAATAAAGATGGCGGCCATTTCCCATACCGATATCCCGTATACCGTTAGTCATAGACGACAGTGGCAACAATATAGGTCAATAGTGGTTTAGTGTTATTAAAAGATCTGCAAAGATATCGTAAATAATTAGATGACATATTTTTCTGCTATACCGACATTCCGATGTCGTCATTTTTCGTCCAATAAATATGGCGGCCATTTAAGATACGGTATCGGCTTTTCCGTATACCGTTAGTCATATTTCTATTATTCCGGCTTTTCCATATACCGTTAGTCATAAACGACAGTGCTAACAATATCTGCAAAATTCTCGTTAATATTTCTATTATTCCTGCGTATTTGATGACATATATTTCTGCTAATCCGTTTACCGGTACAGTTAGCCACTGTCGGCAATCCAAACAGTGTGTTGACGAAAAGGCGGGGCTTACGACAGACAAAGAGTTTTCATTGGCTATTAGAAGGGTAATTTCCATTGAGCACACGCTCATTATACCATAGGCTATGGGTATTGTCTGTTACAATGATAGCGTTAATGGGCGGGATTACAGTTAAACTGGCAGAATATATCGAAGAACAGATTAAATTTAAGCCATCGACTAAAATATATTTTAATGACATAAAAAATTAACACAAGTATAATAAAAACATATAATAATTGTTGTATTACTTGGTAAATCAAATGTCAGTGGGGTCTGGTCTGCATTTCCTATCTGATCGAGGGTGTAATCATGCTTGGATCTTAGATTGATGATGAATTTTTGAAAACTGGTTAGTTTGTCGTCAAAATCTTGTGGTAGTTTCTGTGATATATGTGTTCTTCTACGAATTGATAGGTCGTGTCGGTTCAGAAATCTGTACACCCAACTTGATGTTGCCTTGAAACTTGCATATTCGGCTTTGCCCTTTGCCAACAATAGTGCCTTTAGTCTGACTTCTGTTGTCGAAACGGGCAAACCTTCTTGACGCCTCTCATTCACATAGTCTACCAATTCTCTCTCAATTTGAGGATAACGTGCGGCGCTCCACCTATTAGCTTCTTTACTAGGTTTCATGTCGGTAAGTTTCCCCTTCATCGCCCTCCAACGTCTCACGTTTGACTCCCCCAAACTAAATTCACGACCCGCGGCCCTATTTCCGTGTGCTTCAGCGTAACTAATTACCCTCAACTTCTCCTTAGCGGTATAAGCGGTTCGTCTCGTAGCCATTCTGAATAAATAATTTTTAAGAATGATGGAATGTTCACTGGTGTTTTATATACATCGGGGTGTTTTCTTTGAGCAAGACTGTCTTTTAGTAACCGTTTTAAGTTACCGACGGTTTTCATTCAACATGGATTCAGTGATTGGCCCATTGTTATAATTTACCGGTATAGTTAATTATCTACCAGTGAGTTGTTATCGTTTTCTTTATGAAGTCGTTTGCAGTTGACAAAACCATTGTTTCTTTGATTGGTATTAAAAATGCTATTGTATTATTTTACCGGTATAGTTAATTATCTACCAGTGAGTTGTTACCGTTTTCTTTATGAAGTTGTTTGTAGTTGACAAAATCATTGTTTTTTTGATTGGTATTAAAAATGCTATTGTATTATTTTACTGATAGATCTAAATGGCTACAATCTGGGTATTGTCATGACGCGTGGAGTGGGCGGGGCAACAGACGCTATCGTTTGTCAGTTGTTTGCATAACTTGGAGTAAACTGGAATTGTTGTTTCTCTTTTACCGGTAGTCAGGATTTAAGTTGTGAGTAGCTGATCATGATATATTATTTCTACAGGTATTATTTAATTTGTTTATCATCAAAACCGATTCATTTATCACAGACAATTACGCACGAATTTAACACGATGTAATAGACGGCCATGTTTGTTGTGGGCGGGACTTGAATGACAATTTCACTACCGTACGAGCAACAGAATTACAGCTGAAAGTTATGCAATAATGCAATTGCGTGTTATAATTAATATAAACAAATGTAACAAAAGCATTTTATTTCATAAAGAAATATAATTATATAAAGCTTGATACGGCTAAATATCGGTAATTATTATAACTGTAAACAATAGAGTTTGACCTAGTTACTGGAGATCGCAGGTGGATTTGAGTCACATATGCTATGGCACGAGTTTCACACGCGCTGGGAAAGGGTGCGCCTAAGCCACGCATATTTTTTTTTTCCTGAAACACCTCTGCCAAAGTCGCCCTGCGCCTTATCTACGCATGCGCCTTATACACCGAAAAATACGTTACTCACACTGTAACCCAGATATCATTTAATTTTGTGTAATCTTGTCTAATTTCTTTTACATTTATTCAATATCAAATCTTTGTTTTTAAACAAAGATTTGATATTAAACGAATGTGAAAGAAATTAGTGCTAGATACACAAGATTAATGATACCCGGGTAACAGTGTCATCATGATCATGTTTTGTTTACAATATAAATGTTTAAGTTACACAATTTGTTATGACCTGCTGTACAAAATGGTTCTAGTCCCTGTACTCACCTCGTCTGTTTCATTAAATATAATAAATGGTCCCTCAAATTCTGGTCTTGGTGTATATTCAAAATCTTCAACATCTTCGGCTATAATCTCACGATTACAGATTAAATAACCCTGAAATACATTTATAAATACCAAATAAATCTGTCTAAAATACATTTATAAATATCTAATCAAGGTCTCTGATTGTCATTCCACGTTTTTTTTTAAATCCCTAGTAAACTACATTATTGTTGAAGTAGAATCTCTAAAGGGAATTTCTGTCCAAATATGGTTCAATTTAATTTAGTTCATCACAGCTCATTTTGATTAGCATATGATTTAGGATTTATGTAGTACAGGTGGATATTATGGCTTTATGAGGCTTTAATCCCTCCAACCCACCTATAAGATTTCAATCCCTCTAAACCATCTATAAGATTTCAATCCCTCCAACCCATCTATAAGATTTCAATCCCTCTAAACCATCTATAAGATTTCAATCCCTCCAACCCATCTATAAGATTTCAATCCCTCTAAACCATCTATAAGATTTTAATCCCTCTAAACCATCTATAAGATTTCAATCCCTCTAAACCATCTATAAGATTTCAATCCCTCCAACCCATCTATAAGATTTCAATCCCTCTAAACCATCTATAAGATTTCAATCCCTCTAAACCATCTATAAGATTTCAATCCCTCCAACCCATCTATAAGATTTCAATCCCTCCAACCCATTTATAAGATTTCAATCCCTCCAACCCATCTATAAGATTTTAATCCCTCTAAACCATCTATAAGATTTTAATCCCTCCAACCCATCTATAAGATTTCAATCCCTCTAAACCATCTATAAGATTTCAATCCCTCCAACCCATTTATAAGATTTTAATCCCTCCAACCCATCTATAAGATTTTAATCCCTCTAAACCATTTATAAGATTTTAATCCCTCCAACCCATCTATAAGATTTTAATCCCTCTAAACCATCTATAAGATTTTAGCTCCACCCACCTGTCCGTCTATCATGTAGGATATCATCATTATTTGATCTGTAGCCGAATCAGGAAATTTTAACGGTAATTTAGTTGTCTCAATATCATATGCAAATACAACAGGATCCTGGAAAGAAAAAGAAGATTGTATACCTAATTACATGATATAATATTCACTAAAAATACATTCACTAAAAAGCTACCTTGGAGGTTTGGCCGAGAAAGTTCATCCAGATTTTCCGGCGTGGTTTCTCCATGTCAGTGGTGCAGGAAGATAGGCCTGACAAGGACAGCTGTCTAGTTGTTCGGATGGGACGAAAAACTGAGGTCCTGTTATACATTGGGGTGCACGTAAAAGATCCCTTGGCAGTTGAAATGCAATGTAAGAATAGGCCATAGTGCTGCTGCCCTGGCAAAATTTTCCTCATAGCACACTGTATGGCATATGCCCGTCTTCATTAGCCCAGTCGGAGCTGAACAGTTGGACGTTAAACCATATTTCATTTTATTTAAACGAAATGGGGTTTTATAATGTCCTACTGTTCTGGACCTACTAAACTAATCAAGACGAGCATATGCCATACAGTGTGCCGTGTGTGAAATTCTGGCCTGACAAGTCACTATGGCAATCTGGTTAAAACACAAATTCTATTTCATTTAGTATTTTTTAAAGTTCAAAATTTTGTTTTACTTGTCTTTACTACACTAGGATTTGCCAGAGTTGTTATATAACGTGCATTCTGGATTGCGTGAGGGATTAGAAAATGAAACCACCTCTTACTGCGACTCTTTGGTGCACGATGCACAGAACTGTGAGCAAACCACCAGAGACATCAACGCTGATTGATTAATCAATGTCTGACGTCATAGGGTCAAAAGTCGCTCATACGACCTCTAATGCGACCTTCTACTATAACTATTCAGATCTTCATGTAGTGTACTGTCGGCAATCAAAAGTATAAAAAAAACGAATTGAAATATAGATCTGTAATTTAATTAGAATGGCCGCTATGATCTACTTTATTTGGCTTTCCTGCTGGCAGAAGATCTTTAACTCGCTGTCATTGGTATACACAGGACATGGTAATGACTAGATGATTTCCTTGCCAGACGATGAATCCAGCAAGTTGGTTAAAAGCACACTTGATAAAAACTTACAGGTCTGTCAACCAGATCATCTCTACGTCGTAATTCGATTGGTTCACTTCCTCTACCACGTACAGAATACCAATGGCCGACAAATATCTCTTTATCAATGGACACACGTACATGGTATGGTACATCATATTCTCTACAAAAACAAATATAAATAAATATCTAGAGAGAGAGAGAGTAAGAGAGAGAGAGAGAGAGAGAGAGAGAGAGAGAGATGGGGTTTATGGTCCACTCGACAGAAAGTAGGTAATTTCAGGACTAACACCATGGTTCAATTCTATTTCAATAATTCGCTTGTGCGTAGGGGTCTTTAGCAATGGGAGGAAACCGGAGGAAAATCGGAGGACTCACAAGGTTGGGCAGACGACCCTACTACTTGTCACGTACAACCAGGGAATCAAAACCCTGCCAGTTGTCTCAATGACAGACCTTTTCATACAGCGCGCACGCGCTAAATATTCGACATCCAGAATCTTAAGACATGTGTATTAGAGACAGGGAGGGTCGTCGTCTGTTCAAACACATGGATTTTCCTCCCCCTGCTAAAGACCCCTCATACAAGCAAAATTATGGAAATAAAATTGAACCATATGTAAGTCGCAAAATAACTTAGTTTGTGTCGAGTGGCCCTTAACTCCCTTTGTCTCTGTCTAATATTAGAGATAAACTATTTATAGACCAATCTATCCAGTCAACACACATTACCTGATATCAATCATATTCTCCATTTGATCAGATATTTTCTTAGAAACAGAACTTGCTTCTCCTGTTAAATGGCTAAAATAAAAATAAACAAAAAAATCATTCAATACATCTCACTCGACAACATTCTTGGATATTCTCCGACACACACACTTTCTTGATTATCAAATGAAATGTAATGCGGTTTAAAGTTCTACGTTTCTGAACCAACCAAACTACAGAGGTTGAACCAATCTGGTTAAAACACAGATCCTATTTCGTTTCTTTCTTATAGTTCAAAATTTCGTTTTACTTGTCTTTATTACACTTGGATCTGGAAGAGTTGTTATTTAACTCGTGTTCTGAATGGTGTCAGGGATAAGCCATTGAAACGGTCTGTTATGGCGAGCTTTAAGCGTGTTTTTCACGGAACTGTGGGTAATCCACTAGTAACATCAATGCTGATTGGTTAATCGAATGTCTGACGTCATAGGGTCATACGTCAGTCTTTTGACCCCTGACGTGACCTATCGCTATAACTTGTCAGATCTTCACGTAGTGTAGGCCATCGAAAGTATAAAAAAACGAAGCGAAATATATAGATCTGTAATTTAATCTGATTGGAGGTTGAACATACTCCATTAAGAGGAGCTTTTTTCGGCTCTCCTCTGAAAAACACACAACAACGACTTGAACTCAACATAGTGGACTTCTTTAAATATCTCACCATTTCCACTGAATAAGATTATGACCGATAGCTGAATGGCGGAGCATTACCTTGTCATCATGGTGGTGTAGGCATCATTAGATTTTTCTCGTTCTTTGTTCTTTTTCACCGCGGAGAAAACTTCACGTTTAACTTTCATCAAATCTTCAGTACTAATAAACGACAACTTCAACATTTTACGTTTCAACCCTACAAGATGATTGGCCTGTAAAATAAAGAATGATTTTTGTATAGGGATTTGGCACAACAGGTAGAGAGTGTGATTTATAACCAAATGGTTGCAAGTTCGAGACCCACAAATTGTGACTAATGGAATAAGACAGTCCATCCCTGTATTAAAGTCTACCCAGCTGTAAATCGGTACACATAAAGAGAGCGAGAAATGGGATTTAACGTCCACTAGACACAAACTAGGTCTTTCGAAACTTACGTATGGTTCAACTTTATTCCTTTATAACTCAATTGTGTCTAGGAGTCTTTTTGGAGTGGGAGGAAACCAGAGGACCCCCCACCCCGACCCCCCGGTACAGATAGGATGGTCACTATGGTGTATGCAATTACACAAAAAAATGTTGACATTTTTGGACAACATGGGTTGGGTCTCTTTCTAGAGTTCTAGGGGATCACGTGGCTAGGTTGGTAAGACGCTGGCTCACTAGCCTGGAGGTCGGGTGTTCGATCCCTGCATTGGCCGAGAATGTTCATCCAGATTTTCTGCCGTGGTTTCCCCTTGTCAGTGATGCAGGACGGAGGGCCTGACAAGGACAGCTGTCTAGTCGTTCGGATGAGACAAAAACCGAGGTCCTGTGTACATATTGGCGAGCATGTAACGTAAAAGATCCCTTGGCAGTTGGAATTCGATATAAGAGTTGGCCGTAGCGCCGCTGCCTGGGCAAAATTTCCCTCATAGCACACTGTATGGCGTATGTCCGTCTTCATTAGCCCAGTTTAGGAGCAGTACAGTAGGACGTTAATCCCCATTTCATTTCTGGCGTGTGCACTGAAGATTATATATGGTCTGTCATTGAATCAAATGGCGTAGTTTGTTCATACATACAAGCAGTAGTGACGTCTGCCCAACCTTGTGGGTTTTCTCTGGTTTCTTCCCACAGCGAGTTAATGATATAAAATTTTCACAATATGTTAGTCCGGAAATGACTAGCATTTTCTTTTCTGTTTTATGTCAAGTTCAACATTAGTAGTGGAATTGTTGCGGATATTTTTTCAGTTATAACTAAAATCATAATTTCCACGTCTGCTCAGATCATAAAGTTGTGACAATTTTTTTTAACTTACCAGATCTAAATCCTCTTTTGTTACACTTTCAATGGATGCAATTTTACCAGAAAATTTTCTCGTTAAAAATGATGCGACTTCTCTTTCACAGTCTTTTTTAGTAATCACATAAAAATAGGGTTTAAATGGTAGAGTTGCCTAGAGTAAGATAAACATAAAATAGGTTAGATTTTTAGAAGACCAAACCAGCTCTTTATTCAAACATGTCTGATTTGTAAAACAAATATTGATTTTAAGATACAAATGTTAATTTTAATGTAGAAATGTCGAAATACGACAACAAATGAAGAAATAAGAATTAAGAACTTAGAATTAAGAGCTAAGAATATAGAGCTGTTTGGTCTTCCATAAGATTTACCTAGAAGATAAACATCAAAATAAAGTTTAAATTGTTGAGTTGCCTTTAATGGGATAAATAACAAAATTGGGTAGAGTTGCGTAGAATAAAGGGAGTCACGGTGGCTAAGTGGGTAAGACGCTGGCTCGCTAGCCTGGAGTTCGGATGTTCGATCCCTGCATTGGCTGAGGAAGTACATCCAGATTTTCCGGTGTGATTCCCCTTTGTTAGAGATGCAGGACAGAGAGCCTGACAAGCACAGCTGTCTAGTCGTTCAGATGAGACGAAAACATGAGGTCCCCTGTACACATTGGCGTGCACGTAAAAGACCCCTTGACAGTTGCAATTCGATATAAGAGTAGGCTGTAGTGCCGCTGTCCGGCCACAATTTCCCTCATAGCACACTGTATGGCCTATGCCCGTCTTCATTAGCTCAGTTTGGAGCAGAACAGTAGGACGTTAAACCCCACTTCAGTTCATTCATTTGCCTAGAATAAAATAAACATGAAAATAGGATTTAAATGGAAGATATGACTAAAATAAAATAAATATCTATCATTATTATCAAACATTTCTTGATACCCTTTTCAAACATTTCTACATTTTATTTCATTGTGTCAACCCTCCCAGGTCACATTCCTCCTCTAACGATCCCTGGTTTCGTCACCCAATCTGAATTGTCATCTAGTAATTTGTTTCCACCAGGATACCTGAACATAATGTTGGTGATCCATGTCTCCCTCTCCCCCCCTCCCAACAACCATCTGGTTGTATTGTCTGTAGATAGGCCTGCATATTGTTTGTTATGTTTATATTCTGTTCAGCTGTTTTCCTGGCCTATACTGAATCCTGCCATATAATTATTAGTGTAATTCCCAACAAAAGTTAAAATATCTACTAACTTTAAAACGACCTCCATCTTCCTGTAGGAAGTAATAATCAACAGCTGATACAAGTCTTTTATTGTCATCCAATATATCGGTCTGAAAAAATTATAAATATATACAATATGAATAATATGATGAAAGATTTCAACAATACATTGAAAATCATTTCATTATATATACTAACAACAGAATTCTTTATTAAATTCTCTGATCTTCATTTGTGTAATTCTACCCAGACAGTGGTGTTACGGCCAACTGTACTTTGATTCCATGTTAGCCATTTGAGGAAATGTTAATTACTTGCAAGCAACTATATTCTGCATGTTGGATCTAACAGAAATATCAGTTCAAATCAAAAATGATTCAATTCCTTTCAGTATCTACAAAGGTATAATGAATTGAAAATATGTCAACATTTGGGGATCTTCTGCAGGTAATAGGAACTAGATATTTCAAAAATTTATCTTATAAGTATTTTAAATAATTGACAGGGTTTTATTAATCTCCCTGACGTCACACACAAGGTAGAGTATACTTATACTTTCTAGACACTATATAATTCACTACCAATTATTTTCATACTAATATAATATTCCCCATTTACAACAAGAATTTGTTTCCATGGAAACATAACTAAATAATAATTCACTAATTGGAAATCGATTATTTTCATACCTATATACATGTATATTTTCATGGGGACACAACCGGACAATAATTCACTATTATTTGGAAATCAATTATTTTCATACTAATATATATTCAACATTTACAACAAGAATTCATTTCCATGAAACAAAAATTATCAAATCTGAGAAATTTGGGTTTAGCAAATGACTCAAATACTGTAGATATATTTAGAATAGTTTGAAGTTGGCCCGAAGTTGGCCCAATGTTTGCCAAATAATGAATGGGCATACGTTGGCCATGCCATGTTGGCCCCACGTTTGTCGTGCAACGGTGTCGCTGGCCAACCATTGCCGACATTGGGCCAACGTAAGACTGCTAGCTGGGTTATGTTTTACCGGGTGCATGTTGATATATTTAGAATAGTTTGAAGTGTGTTTTACCGGGTGCATGTTGATAAGCCATCCTGTTATTTCTTGTGGATCTTTATATCGACTGTAACCAAATCTCAGATCAATTTCATCATTTAAATTAGCTCTTTGTAATCGTTTCTCGGTGGAATCTTCACGTCTAAAATAAATAAAATAAAAAGTTTAATTATTTAATAAATCTTACTCTGAATATTCTTGAAAAACACCTTCAACTTTTTGATTATTAAATGATTGGGCACCCACCATATTTTAACACACATCACCATAACTTATAGTGATGTTTGATAACGTTTTTTGATTCGGACGTTCATAATTATGGCGTATTACTACTGCGCAATTCTGATCAGATTAGTACTTTGATTGGCTATTGCACACATGGCCCCGCCTTTATGTGTTACAGACGTAAATTTAAAATGTCGGAAAAAGCAATCTACTGTCACTTTGATTTAAAAAGAGGGGATTTGTACCCGTTTCAGGTAGGATTATATGCTTAATTGTAGCTGGGTGTGGCAGAAATATTATAAATAACAATAATTAATTACAAATGCCCGGTGCGAATCGCTCCCGTATGTGCTACGTTGAAGTTAATAGCACCATTTCTTATCTCGAAACACGGAGGGTTGAGATGAGATTACGGTTTGTTATCTAGGTCTAGATCTATAATTAGATTTATTAATTGATTGGCCCCCAAGAGCTTTATTAGAAAAACAAATATATCAAAATTGTGATAAAAACAATAATTATAAACAATGGTGAACTCATCAATATATACATAATTAACCTAGTCTATACTGCCTATCTAAGATTAGTAGTCTTAAACCAGATCGACGATCAACAACAGTTTGTCAGTACACAGTACAGTGACAGACGAGACAAGTGAGAGAAGAAATAAGTCAAAACTAGAATATGACATGGTAAAATGTTATTGTACCCGCTTGATTCAGGTTTTTCCTCGTCGTCCGCCTTGTATTTTCCACTATTCTGTAAAACCATCGTCCCCGATCCAATACAATCTTTTCTGCTTTCTCAGGTCAACAACAAAATTATGAGTCCATGTTAAGTTTGGCGCCAAAAGTTATCTGCCCTTGAGCTAAAAATAGATCTGACAATATTTTGGACGTGGGCTTTAATCAATACATAACGAAACGAATTTTTAAATAAATATCAATTCGTTTTGAAAGTAAGTATTTATAAACATTGCCTGTTGCCTGAAATATGAATTGTAGCATAATAAAATTTGAATAATCATCCTGTTATGGGTTGTTTTTTTTGAATCAATAAAAGGAACTATTCCCATCATTTTGCGTTTTTCTGAACTTTTACCAACGATGAATTTTAACTGACCAAGATGTCAGCCTCCATGAATGCTGTGTTTTCTCGGTTTTCAAGGTTATTTTCTTATTTTAGCTGTTTATATTGAAATTTAAAACGCGTTTGTATAGAAAGGGCTGAAGTTTCGTTATTGTACATTGAGTTAAACCTTTTTTAATTTGATCGTCTTTCCATTATTTTATTTTGGCCAGAAAACCCCCAAACCGACCAACCAATTTCAATAGATGATGGGCATGGCAATGGCAATAAAATAGCCACTTTTCCAAATACATGTAATTGATGTTTTATTAGTAAAAGTCAATCATTCATTTGATGCTACCGTAATTTTCTTACCTTTTGAGCGAGTTGTCGTCTGGAACCATAGCCACGGCACAGGAAGGATGGGGTGTGGTGAGCACTGAACTTGCATCATGCATGAGGAATAATAAGACTCCATGGGAGGAACAAAAACCCAATATTCATACGACCAGGAAGGAACTATATTGAAACTCAAGATACCACTGGACAGAAACGTCCAGAGATGCAAACAATCGTTCATAAAACAACACATATTAAATACTATTTGCACTGACAGTTTATGATGATATGAAATGATTTGCTTTGATATTCACAGAATTTATTAAAATTATTTATTTTAATTGACAGATTGTGTTTAAACCAAGGTATAACCCTACGGACAGTTCATACTCAGGTGTCACCGCTGTTATTTAAAGTATCAGAACAGCTATGGTAAGTTGGTTGGTGGCTAAGTGGGTAAGATGCTGGCTCGCTAGCCTGGAGGTCGGATATTCGATCCCTGCATTGGCCAAGAAAGTTCATCCAGATTTACCGGCGTGGTTCCTCCTTGTCAGTGATGCAGGACAGAGAGCCTGGCAAGGACAGCTGTCTAATCATTCAGATGAGACGAAAAACCGAGGTCCCATGTACACATTAGCATACATTCCTTGACATCTGGAATTCGATTTAAGAGTAGGCCGTAGTGCTGCTCTCCGGGCAAAATTTCCGTCTTAGCACACTGTATGGCATATGTACGTCTTCATTAGCCCAGTTCGGAGCAGAACAGTAGGACGTTAGTCTACCACTTCCGGTTTCGGAGTTATGACCCCCGAGCGAAGTCGGTCTGTTCGGGGTTGACGGCTACACTATGTCTGCCCCGAGTCTGAAATTTGGGGTATAGGGGTATCTCGGACCGGGGAGTAACATAGGCCAGGTGGCGTTAGTCTACCACTTCCGGTTTCGGAGTTATGACCCCCGAGCGAAGCCGGTCTGTTCGGGGTTGGCGGCTACACTAGGTCTGCCCCGAGTCTGAAATTTGGGGTATAGGGGTAGCTCGGACCGGGGAGTAACATAGGCCAGGTGGCGTTAGTCTACCACTTCCGGTATCGGAGTTATGACCCCCCCCCCCCCCCCCCGAGCGAAGCCGGGATTTTCCTGCTAGTATATAATATTTGTTTCATCTTCAGTGCCGAACCTATGAAAAAGAAGAAAAAGGTCGACCCTATGAAGCAGTTCGCTAAAGAAGCTAAAAAACTCAAAAAGATTGAAAGAGAAATCAGACGATTGGACAAAAAAGGACGTATTTTAAAGCCTATTGATGAATTGGACAGTGTGAGACGGTTATCGAAAGAACTTGAGTAAGTAGAATGAAATTTTTCCTGTGTGGTTTCTGCCTTGTTAGTGGTACAAGAAAGAGGGTCTTGCATGGAACAGCATCTAATCTTCCGGATGGGATGAAAATTCAAGGTCACATGTAAAAGAACCCTTGATGGTTAACGTTCGGTGAGGATTAAAATGTTGTCCTCTGAGCAAAATTGAGCTCAGTCAGTGTAGTAAAGTTGGACGTCAAACTACATTTCATTTCACATAGAATTAACCCTTTAACATCTGAAAATGTAAATATTGACCATGTGGTTCCCCTAAAATATTTTTAAAAAGTGAAGATTTTTTTAGTTCAGTTTTGAAACTGCCAGAAGCTACTGCTTGCTAGGTCGCGGAATTCAAAAACTGATATCCTGTCCTTGAAAGATGCATTATGTAAGAGATAAATTTGCTGAGACTATGCAATTCTTCAAACAGTCAAAACTTCGCTTAGAATGAAGTTTTTTGACTTTAATTTTCAATATATTCATTTTTCATTATCTACTTTGAAACTATTATAGCGAGAACTGTCAGCTCTTTATCTAAATCTTTCATAATGTATCTTTAATAGTTCAGTTATTTATGTGACTTGGGCAATGTATGGTTCTAGAGGGAGCAGTAGTTGCAAGCAGTCCAATTGCTAAAATGCTAAATCTATTTGTTGAGATGTAAATAAGGTTAGGGTATGTGATTGTTGGCGAGATTGTAGGTAAGGGTTAGGGTAAGCATTGGGGCTAGGTCCAGGGTAAGGGTTGGGATTAGCACTAGCCCTATTTACATCTCTTGATTTATGACGAAAAATTGAGCTGGCCTTATCATTTAGCACTAACCATTGCTAAAGGAATGACAACAGGACTATGTCAGAATTATTTGTTGACATCAATTAGCCTTTTATTATACTAGAAGTTTAATATATATGTTAATTTAGAAATTCTAAGCATTTCAGCTCCACCCACTTGCAATGCTTTATCTCTCAATAATGTCATTCAGCGTAAACCTTGATGTTATTTAGGTTGCCGACTTCTGTAAGAATTAGATTTTTTATGTCAAACACCAAAAAACACAATTTTTTTCTTTCAATTATAGCAATATCCGATATGATTTTATATCATTTCAGATTGAGAAAAAGAGAAAGGACAGTTGTGTCATTCGATGAAATGGAAAATAGAGTGCTGCTATATAAAGATTGGACTCGTTATAAAGCTCAACAACGTCGACTTGATTCTATTACACTTAGACGTCTTCAGAATTCACAGACCAAAGCGCTGGATGAATTAAGAAAAGAATCTGAGGACCTTTATCAAAAAGCCATACAGGTTTGTTCTGATTACAACTAACAACTCGTCAGATGTCAGAAGGATTGGGATGGCCAAATGGGTTACCATGTGTGCATTACATATAGATCACAAGATCTTTCATTGAGTCAAGTGGCGTGGTTTTGATTTCCCCACTTGTACATGACCCCTACGCTCAAGTGAATTATTGAGATAAAATTAACCATGTTAGTCTAGTTGAAATGACCTAGTTAAACTCCATTAATTCCGTTTGGAATTTCTTGATTATTCCTCTTAAATTTGTTTTATTTTTATTCTAATTCCTCGAGAAATCCTTGGTTTTTATTCTAATTCCTTGATTTTTATAATAATTCCTCTTGAAATTATACTAATAACTCCTCTGAAATTGCTTGATTTTTTCAATGATTCCTTTGGAATTGCTTGATTTTTTCAATAATTCCTTTGGAATTCCATGATTTTTTAAAATAATTCTTTTGGAATTCCTTGATTTTTATATTATGAAAATCTTCTTGAAATCCTTGGTTTTATTTTGCAGATTGATGAAGGAATGCTTGAGTTACGTATTACTGGACCATTATCAACCCCTCCAATAAAATCTTTTGAGCCCACAGATGGGGAATATGTCGACAAAACTAGAAAATTCGATGAAACAGAAATAGAGATACCGAAAATAGAGTTGACTTCTAAAAGAAGACGGACCTAAGTGTGTCAGCATTGGGATCTAGCAGTTTCCTTATCAGATATGTTTTGTGTTTGAATTCTGGCTTGAGATTGGTTTACATCAGTCTTGCCATTGGCTAGATCTGAGATCAGGGTCGCGTTTCACAAAGCAGGCGTATAGATATGCGTAATTGTAAATCAAACATTTTATTATACAGTGTCTTGAAAATGAAATGAAATGGGGTTTAATGGCCTACTTATCTATTCCAAGAAAGAGTCTTTTCCCCTTGTCAGTGACGTAGAATGGATGGTCTGGAAAGGAACAGTGCTTAGTCGTTCGGATGGTATGTAAATCCAACGTCCCATGGACAGAATTCGAAGTATGAGTGGGCCTTCACCCCCGTCCAGGCAAAATTCTCCTCAGAGCACACTGTATGAAAAGTAGGACATTAAACCCCAATCTATATTTATTAACTCGTTAATCTGCAATCTGATTAAAACACAGATCCTATATCGTTTGTTTCTTTATAGTTTAAAATTTTGTTTTACTTCTCTTTACTACACTAGGATCTGAAAGAGTTGTTATAAAACCCAAGGGGGGTTGGATGGCTGAATGGTTAGCGTGCGCGCGCTGTATCATACAGTCTGTCATTGAGTCGACTAGGGTCGCCTGTCCAACCTTGTGGGTTTTCTCCGGGTCCTCCGGTTTCCTCCCACTGCTAAAGATCCCTACGCGCAAGCGAATTATGTAAATAAAATTAAACCATATGTTAGTCCCGAAATGACCTAGTTTGTGTCGAGTGGACGTTAAACCCCATTTCTCTCTCTCTCTCTCTATAAAACCCACGTTATTGTTGTGAAGGATTAGCCAATGAAACGGTCTGTTGTAGCGAGTTCTTGGCGTGCAATGCACAGAACTGTGGGTATCATACTAGAAACATCAACAAAATTGGTTGTCGAAAGCCGCTCGTATGACCTCTGACGTGATCTCCCACTACAACTGATTAAATCTTCATGTTGTGTAGGCCATTGAAAGTATAAGAAATACAGAACGAAATATAGAACTGTATTTGAATCAGATTGTACATATCTAGTATTAAACATACATTATGCAAGAGCTAAATCTGCCTATTGCAGGTCTTTCTTTAGGCCTGAAATCTTATCTAAATAATTAATTAGACATTAATTAACTTATCTAGACCATATTCAACTCTCGACGGCATCAATAGACTACGATATTTACTAGATTAGGTTCCGATTTGCTGTTCGACTTCCATTCATTTAAATCATGAAATGGATAACCGAGACTATGTTTTTTTGTCATATCAATTTTAGTAATGATGATCAAGGCTAGGCCGGAAATTCAATTGCTAAAATCTCGGTTCATAGTGGATCAATTTGACAGAAATTTTCAGCAAATTCCCTTTACATTATCTAGTTTTTAACTATTATAGTGAGAACTGCCATCTCTTTATCTAATCTTCCATAATGTATCTTTAAACTGTACATGTATATGCTGTTTATATAGAGATGTCAGATTAATAACAGTTTTAATTTGTTTTGGGAGCCTTGATTTGATTGTATGGTTTACATGTATATAATAAATAATTACAAAATTTTAACATGTAGTTTGAATTTGAAAACAAGAGGAATCTGATCGTCATTTTAATCCCTTGTAAACTACAATATTGTGAATATCTGTTAAAGCATTGTCCAGTTTTTTTCAGTATTTACCAAGATATGATTAATTAAAATTTTGTAACATTCAGCAAGAAGCAAGAAAATAGAAAAAGTAAAGTGTACCATTTACATAAGGGACAGGGATAGACTGATGGAATTTAGCTTCATCATATCTTTGTAAATACTGAACTGAATTGATCCAATTTTGTAGTTTGCAAAGGCTTTATATATCACAGACTTTAAATCTTCTACATTTAGTGTCATTATCTTCCTAGTGATGAATAACGTGTCCCAATAGGGGTTACTTATTTTAAAGTGGAATTTACAACACAATTGTAACCGTGAAGCTAGCATAGGTATACAATCCGCCCATCAAATTTTTTGGGCAGTGGCCAAATGATGAAAAACAAAAAAATTAAAAGGCAAAATATGAACATTTTTCCAGCCCACAAAATGAAGTGCCTGAAATCCGTGAATTTTATTGACCATTGGGTGGGGCAATGCAATTCCCAACCTGAGTTCAGAGTTTCTGAAAATCACACGATACTGATTTTGATTCAGGGTGTCTAGTTCTCAAACTCAAATTGCAGTTCCAGAAAATTCTATCCTCTAGGTACTACTTGCCGATCGGGTACTATCTGGTAAAGTTATGTAGGTTCATTTTTCGGACATGGTCGAAAATCAATGGTGGTCTGATTCCATTTAGCATTTCATGGGTTACATCCCTTAGCTTGATATTACCGGATTCACTCGATGCACAATCGAATTACTGTAATGTTTATACATAAAATCGAAATATTTATAGAACTATGCTAATGAATGAGTATAGACTTTCATTTTCCTGAAATAGATGAAAATAAACTTAAGGGAAAGTAGCTACGAGAACGTAGCTAAAAACGTTGAGATATACTGATGTGTTTGTTTTTAGCTACGATTGGATGGGTTTAATTCCAAGTGGCAAACTCAATTTCTTTATTAATGCATGTAACATCTTTAAAATAGACAAGTTTATGATATTATGATTAATTAAACTTACAGAGGCCAATGTAGTGGCACAACTGTCGCCTAACTCTAAAGGCGTTTTTACGAGAAAACAAATCGGTTTCGATTACCTATCTCGTTTTGTACAAAGAGATAGGTCTCGGGTTGGTATTCGAATCGGTTCTCGTAAACGCGATGAGTTGCCTCGCAAGATGGCTGAAGACTGAAAAATTGAGGAAAAATGTTAAAAAAATTCACTTTTCTTTATTATGTTCTTGGCGACACCGCCCAAAAATAAAAACGAAAAGTTGTACCAGTTGACTGTCCCCAAATGCCCCGTATTTTTATTAGGAATGTCCATAATATTCATATTTTAATGTGAAATTCAAAAGAAAATGATCTAACGTCAATCCGGCAGGCGAGCAAGTTGGAAGATTTGCATAATCGATTTGGCAAATCGTCGTGGTAAATACGACAATTAGGTGAAACCGATTAGGCTAATTTTTGCCGTAAATGTGTTTGGAAAGGAAATGCAAATCGATTAGCCCTAATCGGTTTCTCGTAAAAACGCCTCAAATATTCGCGTTTAAATTAATGAAGCGTTGTTTTTGTCTGAATAATATCTCCCAATCTTTATTCTGGTCAACAAATTTGACTATATTACAATATTCCAATTAATTGGTAATACAAATTTCATCTTAACACACCTAATTTAAAAAATTGGAAAAATACAACTATATGATTTGAAAAGCCTAACGTAAACCTGTTCAAATATGACTTGGATTTAAAAATATTTTCGAACCCTCTAGACAGGATGTAATGGATAATTTACACAACAGGTAGGCCACTTAAACATCTAGTACTTAGAATAAGGCTATTATTTATTTTCTGGGGCTGTCAAGCCAGCAAGCGTGTTATTGTCCCTTTGAGAGCAAACTGTATGCCCGTCTTCATTAGCCCAGTAGGTGCAGAAAAGTAGGACGTTATACTCCATCCATCCATTCAGTCTGAAATATAAACAAAAAATCCCAGGAGATTTAACTGTGCCCCTTTGAATCAAATTGACCGTTAACCATATAACACGTGTTCAGTTTGTATTTGTATCGAGGGGGGGGGGGGGCGAATGATTAGCGCGTACGTGTTGTATTATAAGGTCTGTCATTGAGTCAACTGGCGTGGTTTTGATTCCCTGGTTGTACGTGACAAGGAGTAGGGTCGCCTGTCCAGCCTCGTGGGTTTTCTCCAGGTCCTTCGGTTTCCTCCCACGCTAAAGACCCCTATGCGCAAGCGAATTATTAAAATAAAATTGAACCATGTGTTACTCTCTCTCTCTCTCTCTCTCTCTCTCTCTCTCTCTCCCCTCTCTCTCCCCCTCTCTCTCTCTGTCTCCCCCTCTCCCCTCTCTCTCTCTCTCCCCTCTCTCTCTCCCCCCTCTCTATCTCCCCTCTCTCTCTCTCTCTCTCTCTCCTCTCTCTCTCCCCCCTCTCTCTCTCTGTCTCCCCCCCTCTCTCTCTCCCCCTCTCTCTCTCTCTCTCTCCCCCCTCTCTCTCCCCCTCTCTCTCTCTCTCTCCCCCTCTCTCTCTCTCTCCCTCTCTCTCTGTCTCTCCCCCCCTCTCTCTCTCTCTCTCTCTCTCTCTCTCTCTTGTATTTGTTCTTTAAAATCCAGCATGTATATTAATACCCAGATTAATTCACTGCTACAAAAATGAATACAGATTGGATGACATTTAAAAAGTATCGTGAAAATATTTACTAAGCACCTGAGAGAAGCAGAAGCAGTGCATTATCCGAGAGAATGGATCAACCAACCTGTATAAGCCCGTATTGAGTATTTAATAGGCTAGTTTCTATGCCATTGTTTAATTTATAATTAAAACCGTGAGAATAAAATATAATTATAAAATTGATGATTTTAATGAAGACGGGACAATACGGGTATTATATATAATTTGTATTAACTTACAATCCTAGGTCAGTAGAATTTGTGTTGAATATACTGCAAGAACGTCAAATTAATTTGGCATACCCTATGTGAACGCAGGTGCTTGTCCAGAGGGAGAGAGGGCGGGGGAGAAGTGCATCCGATGCTCCCGCATGTTCCTGAAGCAAGGACTGCGAGTTTCACAACATCTGCCTGTTGCTTGTTTACTTCACAATTCCCGAACTTATAGCTATGTTATCTGCAGACATGTGAGCAGTTGCGTCCAATCAGAGGTTGTAACATCGCGACCTCTACGGAAACCTTGACATTGAATGAACCTTGAACTTTGGTTGTAACATCGCGACCTCTACGGAAACCTTGACATTGAATGAACCTTGAACTTTGCAACTCGATTATTACAGGTAGACATTTTAGCTTGAAAGCGCGAGACTTGGAATCTGATAGGCTCACAAGTTGGACTTGTACCCAATCGAAATTAGTCCCGAAATATGCAGGGTATCACGTGAAGGCCTTGAAAGGAATGGGATTTAACGTCCTACTCTTCTGCACCTAACCTGGGCTAATTGAAGACGGGCATACGCCATACAGTGTGCTATGAGGGAAATTTTGCCCGGGCAGCGGCGCTACGGCCTACTCTTATATCGAATTCCAACTGCCAAGGGATCTTTTACGTGCACGCCAATGTGTACACGGGACCTCGGTTTTTCGTCCCATCCGAACGACTAGGCAGCTGTCCATGTCAGGCCCTCCTTTCTGCATCACTGACAAGGGGAAACCACGCCGGAAAATCGAGATGAACTTTCTCGGCCAATGCAGGGATCGAACACTCGACCTCCAGGCTAGCGAGCCAGCGCCTTACCCACTTAGCCACGCGAAATTTTGAACGGCACATTATAAGAAAATGTGAAAAATCACGTGTTCCCAATTGAGTATTCACTGGTACTGATAAGTATCTCTATTTAGTTTGAGTCATTTTTTTGTATCTATGACTATAGTCTCTGTCTACGGTTTCATATATATTTAGCCAGGTGTGCCGCTATTTTGTCATGTGTTCCTGGGTTGAGAACCACTGTTATACAGTACACGGGCCTCACGTCATACTTGTGACGCTGTCTCCACCTTGGACCCCGGCTGCTCAAATTCCTGGACACGCCCGTAGATTGAATGACATAAGTAGCCTAACCTTAATACTTCAAATCTTATAATGTATAATTAAATATTGACGAGATTATTATATACAGTTCGTGTTAATTTACAATCTCAGGTAAGAATGATTTGAGCTTAATACATGTTTAAGAAGGTTTAATTAATTTGGTAATGGAATGTTTAACGACCTACTGGTTATTAATTTGACATCATCCGTGTGGATGAATGACATAATACCTCAGAATTATCTTCTTTCATAAAGCGTTGACAGATATTTTTTTTTTTTAAATCATAAATCACACTGACCTTTACTGGAGTGCATGTTAAGTTAAAGGAGCTAAATCGTTAATATCTGGGACCTAGAAATTGAAACAAATGGGTCGCAATGCATATAATAAAATAATATGAATGTATATAAACTGATTTACATTCAATTGTTTCCATTTTTACTCTAATTTCAAACCATTTATGTTCGGCAAAATACGCCAGAATTCTCAATCGAATGGCAATCTCTAGTGTCTGGTTATTCCGATAGTACTTATTGAGCGTGTTCTCCAGGTAAGAATATGACGTCACCGTTTGACATGACTTGTGGAATATGTCTAGCCTCGTTCTTCGAGTCCCTTGTTACAAATGGGCGAATGGCACTGAAACGCATTATGGTACACGATTCTTGTACCAATGGCAAAATGTTTATTTTGTCTTAAATATTGGATACCAGAAGCCCATCTTTTTCCGGTAAGATCACAACATCAGTGTTGATTTAAATTGACAAATAATTGGGGGGGGGGGGGTCAATGTCGAAGACTTT